CAAATCAATTATTATTTTCTACAATTTTTAATTATTTTTTATGAAAATAATTGAATTCCTTAAAAAAAAAATTTCTTATTTATAAAAATAGTTGAATTATTGCGAAGGAATTTATAAAAAATTTCTGCAATTATTTGTAATTTTTTCAAAATTGGATTTTTTTTAGTGTTTTCAACAAAAATTTGAATTAAAAATTCTTAAATTCTGTTATTTTTAAAATTGCTAATCTTGTCCCAAAAAGTTAGCCGCGCGAATTGTTGCTCGTGTAGGTATATTATTTTAAAAACCTAATTCAAAAATAATTTTGAAACATTTGAGTATAATAACTCTTCACACTACAAAAATCGAAATAAGTTGCATTTTATACCAAAAACGTAGTATTTTGTTGCGATATTTTGAAAGAAAATAAAAAAAAGTCGAAAAAATTCGTCTTTTTTGAGAAATATTGGAAAAAAGTCGAAAAATACAAATATATACAACAATTAGTAGAAGTGAGAAATAAAATAAATTAAAAACGAAAGCGTAGACATAAAGAGATCGACAGAATAGATTCGAAAATAAATTTTAATTAAATACAATCTCGTGTGCACATATATTTCACGGTCACTCCTATATTTTCTATTTCTCGTAAATAAGAAAGTTATTTTAAAAAAATGACTAATCTTGACATTTCGTCTACAATAGATAAAAATCTCGCTCTCTATATAACAATTTTAAATTCCCCCTTGAAAAACAAAGTTACTATTTATTTCTAAATCGATAAAATTTCGATTCCTCAATCTAATACTAGATACTACTGATAGTAGTAAAATGTTAATAAAAATCGAATGAAAGGAAAAAAAATTTTCGCACCCTCGGGCAAAATCTAGAGTGGTTTGGATCGACATCATCTGGAGAGACGCCAAATGTTTAGCAGTATAAAAGGGGGATGAGAAAATGCGGATACCGAGGGTTCTCAAATTTTACATTTTAGACAATTTTTTTATCAAGAAAAAAGAAAAATAAAATGGAGACAGTAAAACTAATTTAAAAAACAATTATTTAAAAACAATTTCTAGGAATTAAAAAAAAATTACAGTGTGTGGGTTTCGGAAATTGAAAGCGCACAAACAAAAATGATTTAGAAATATATCTTAGAAAAAAAATAATATATGGAAAAAGTGGATAAAAGCAAAAACTTGTTTTTCGAATAGATGGTTTTAATCCTCTCGCTTTATCATTCTCTCTTTCTCGCTTTCGATAATATCGAGTATATAGAATTCGTGTGGAAAAATATATAAGGAAACTGAGTATTATTTTCAATCAATGGCTTTCTGTATTTCTTTTTTCCTTTTCTTTTTGCAAAGTTTAATTTTGCGTGTGATTCGTTTTATAATCTTTTGCATGAGCTGGCGAATTCATGCCAAGAATCAATATCCACTTGGGCTTCAAAAGCAGTCTAGTTGTTGGACATTCCCGCGTATTTTGTTACAAAGATAAAAGGGAACAGACAAGAGAGTGACAGATGAAGAAAAAGCACAAAAAGTCTATAAAATACTCATTTGCTTCAAATGAGAGATGAAACATTTCTCTGTTTATAATTTTTCCTCTTTCTTTTTTATTCCTATTTTTTTACAAAACTCATCCACGGCTTGTCGATTTCAATTACTTTTCCATTTATTTATCATTTTTATTAATAATATTTCTTTTCTTTTCTTCTCTTTTTCTTATCATTTGATATACAAACTTGATAATCGATTGTAATTGGAAAATTTATATATTTCTTCAAATCTTCTTAATTTTTTTATTCTTTCGTCATTATGATTTAATTACTTTTAAATTTGTTCTTTATTATTTTACTAAAGTTCATAAAGTTAAAATTAACAAAATTTATTTATTTCTTCTTCAAATTTAAATTTTTTACAATAACTAGCAAATTTTACGCGTGCGAAACATGGCATTCAATATAATTATTATTATTATGCAAATTTCAAAATTTTTTTATTTTCAAATATCAACTTTAATTTTTCAAATGATTTCAGATTATTTTCAATTTCAATTATTTTCAAAAATTTGATACAATCCTAAAACAATTTAATCATGTTTAATACAATATTAACTGAATTTCTGAGAAGAATTTTAATTTTCTTCGAACAATTAAATAATTTTCAAATGCTTTTAAAATTCTTTGCTAGAATTCAATTATTTTCATAAATAATAAAATTTCATGACAGAAATCAATTTTTCTTTAAATTTTAATAAAATAATTGAAAAAATTAAATTCTATTCAAAAATTGTTATTAAATTAAATAGAAGAATTCAATTGTTTTCCGATTTTAATTAAATTTCTCGAAAGAATTAAAATTTTTTCATTGAATTTATATTTTATTTATACAAATTCTAGTATTATTATTTTCATAAATAATAATAAAGTGCTTCACATTGATTTAATTTTTTTTCAATACAATTTTAATAAAATGTATCAAAAGAATTTATAATTATTTTAAAAGTTTTTAAAAATTTTAATAAAATTCGTTGCAAAATAATTGAATTATTTTCTTATTTTATTATAAAAATAAAAACATTTCGTTTTACAGAATTTAATAAAATAATTTTAAAAAATTTGAATAAAAATCCTTCAAAGAATACAATTATTTTCAAAAATTTTAATAACATTTGTCGCAAGAATTAAATAATTTTCTTAAATTATAAAATTCTTCGGAGGAATTTAATTATTTTTAATAACATTTTGTTTTACAGAATTTAATAATAGGTATAATTTTAAGAAATTTGAATAAAAATCCTTCATTCAAAGAATACAATTATTTTCAAAAATGTTAATAAAATTCTTTAGATGAATTCAATTAATTTCAGAACAATTTTTATTAAATTATTTGAAATAATTTAATTATTTTTAAAAGATTTTAATAAAGTTCTTCAAAACAATTTAATTATTTTCAAAAATTTTAATAAAATTATAAGCAATGTTTAAATTAATTCAGATTCAAAATTATGAAAGTTATTAAAATTAGGACAAATTTTTTTTAACAATTAACAATTTAAGTTTTAAAATGTAAAATTAAATTTGCAAGTTAAATTATGATTTTTAATTCGAAACAATTTTGTTTAATTAATGTTTGTTATTTTTAATCTTCAAAGCATTAAATTAGAATTTAATTAATTTTCAAATTCAAAACATTTAAAAAGAAAAATTGTCAAACAATTTTTTTTAAATTACTGATAGAAACGAAATTAAAAACTTAAATTTACAATTTCTTTTTCGATACGTGACGCAAAATTATTTTAATAAAATTTGAATAAAAATAAATAATTTTCGTTCATTTTAACGTTAAGAATTGTATGAACATAGAAAAACTTGATTTTTAAATAAAAATAAAAAAAACCAAAAACTAAACTCGATAGTTATTAAATAAAAATAGATCTCAAATTTATAAAAAAAATGATGACACCTGAGGTGGGCTTAAAAATATTTTCTAATGAAAACGACTTACAAAGTCAGCTGTCAGTGATGAATCATATCGTAGAGCCGTAAGTCGGCATTTAAACTAAGCACAATGATAATATGAAAATAGAAAAAAATACAAAACACGATGTTAAGGAAAGATATCTCACGTTTTAATAATAGAAAATAAATTCCCAAAAAAAATAAACAAACACTTTAGTAGGTGTTAATTTAATAAATAATACTAATAATAATAATAAAAAAATTTCATTGAACCAATATCATAACAATAAAAATGTTTCCACTGGAATTTTGATCATTAACATTTTAATTAAGTTATAAATGAACTATTTAGTATAAATTTATAGATTAACAAAAAAAAAACGGAAATATTTCCCATTGCATCACTCGAAAAAAATGTTATTTATCTACATTAACAGCTGCAACAGCAAAACGATAAAATTTCATTCAAAAATTCAAGCCAGATTACTAATTCAAAAAAAAGGATAAATTAATTTTCTTCTATCGGCATAGAAAGACTCCATGACAGTTAATAAATTACTCCTATCGTGCCTAATTATTGCAATTTATTATGTGTTAAAATTCTCAACCGGCCTTTAAGTCGATTAATTTTCTTTACATTAATATTTGCTATTTTTATCAAAAAACACTTTCGAATTGTCAGTTTTGAAATATGAAATATATTCAAAAATTATATTATTATAATTTAAAACTCAACTATTAGCTTTTTCCCAACCAGTTTAGTGTAATATTTACCTATTATATTAAAACAAGTTTCTCCTCTATATATTTTCCAAAAATTCAATTTCACACTATGATAAAAGACGGAAACAAATTTATTTTCAAATTGAAAAAAATCACTCCTCTCTGCTATAATAAAATGAAAATGATTAACATATATATGACAGGCGTGTGAAAAAATATTAATTTTACAACTTGGTTTCAGCTAGACTTGAAAACAAGTTTCAAGAAAGCGTGACCTGAATAAAATGAAGTGTCGAATTATCTTTGAAATTGATATTGTATAGTCTTTATCTATATATCCATAGACAATACAAAATGCGAAATAAACTTTCGAAAAAGAAAGGTTTCCAAGTGTATATATAAAGACGTCTTTAAAAGAAGGCGCGAACTTTTTTCCCACCTTCTTTAAATATCGGAAATTATTAATTTTCTCTCTCGACTGAAGGACGAACGTGCTGCAAAAAAAAAGGAAAAAATTTCGGATGGCCTAGAAACTGACCTGAAAGTGCGAACATACTTGCATACCGTTTTCATTCCCGTTATATTTTTCATTGTCCTCGAAGGAACCGATAAACCTCAGTTTTGAAGCCCATGAAAACTTGAATGACCGTGTCGCAAAAATACCGAGAGAATGAGAGAAAGAATGAGAAATCTTGGAAAATGGACAGCTGTCGTCTTCGAAAATCCCTATTGTCTCCTGATTTTCAAACAAGGTACTCGCAGCAATGTTCCGTCCATAAAATTTTCGTTAAATAAAACTCCAAAACTGTAGCTTAAAATTTTCACTTAATACCTTTTTTGTAATGCTCTGTGTATAAATACTCGAAACTTTTCCAACTCAAATTCTCCTGGCTTTGAAAATACTCATTGTCTCTAGTTTCCTCGCATAAAAGAAGCACTGGATCCTAAAATTGCGGCTGAAAACTGAAAAGCAAAAAAAGGACAAAATTAAAACCACTTTCAACATACGTACTTAAAAATATTTGCTAAATTAAAAAATTTGCAGACAATTTTTAAAAATATTTTTTTTTAATGAAATAAAATAGAAGATAAATTATTAATTTTTAGCAAAGGTGGTTTTTTCCCTCTTGCGTATTATTTTTTCAAAATTTCTTTTCATTCTTATTTCAGATTCGAAATTTTTTTTCAAAAAAAATTTTTACTTTTTCCTCAGTTATAAAACAATATAATAAGTTCAATTCTATTTCGTAAAATTTTATTAAATTATTTTCAAATCTTAATTTTTTAAATATTTTTTTTAACATTTTCCTTCGAAAAACAAGATTACGTTAAAAATTGTAATAAAATTTTTTTAAAACATAACATTTATTTTTTCAATAATAAAAATTTAATCATTTCCATGCAGAAAAAAAATTAATTTGATTCAAATAACCAACTACTTTTCTATTATCAAATAAATATTGATTCAAATTTTAGTATTTGAAGCAAATATAATTTAATTGATTTAAATAAAAATCATTTGATTCAAGTAAATATTTATTTGATAATAGACAAGTAATCGTTTATTTGAATCAAATCAATTTCTTTTCAGTGCAAAAATTAAATTTCTAATTTTACTAATATTCAATTATTTTCTAGAATTTTTAATTAAAATTCTTCTAATTATTTTAATTTTCAAAAAGTTATTCGAGAATTAAATTATTTGAAAAAAAGAATGTTTACTAAAAATTCGTTTAAAATTTAATAGTTTTCAATTTACGAAATTTCGATTATTCGAAAGATTCTTAATTAAATAATATTTAGAAATTAAACTAATTTTTTAAAAAATTTCAATTATAATTTTCTAAAAAACTAAATTTAAAAAATTATTTTTAAAAACATTAATCGTTTTGAAACTAAAGTATTTCTAAAAATGTTTACATAAATCTTCCAATACTCAATTATTTTCTAGAATTTTCAACTAAATTTATTCACAAGTTTAGTAATTAAAAATTTTATTATTATTATCAAGTAGAATTAATTGAAATTTTCCAAAATTCTCAATTTGCAAACCTACTGGTATTTAATTATTTCTAATAATTTCTACTTTAACCTCTCCAAAACTCAATTATTTTTATCAAGTTTTAACTAAAATTCTTTTCTAAATCATTTATTTTTAATAATTTTTGAGAAATTTCTTTGAGAATTCAATTAATTATTTAAAGAAAAAAAGAAAGTTCACTTGAAATTTGTCTAAAATTTAATAATTGTTTTCAATTCCATATAAAAAAATTTAAGAAATTTTTATTATTATAAATATAACGATATTATTTTCCAAAGATTTTTACTGTAACTCTTTCAATAAACAAATTCAAATACTCGAAATATTCTAAAATTTACAACTGTAGCTTTTTTAAAATCAATTATTTTCTAGAATTGTTAAGATAGATTTATTAAAATATTTATAATAATTTCTTACAATAAGTATTTAAATATAATCAATTGAAATTTTCAAAAATTTTTATTTTGAAATCTGGCATTTAATTATTTTTAAAAATTGCTAGTATTGTAATTTCTCTAAAATTGAATTATTTTCTAAAATTTTTAATTAAAATTCTCTAAATTAATTATCATTAATAATTTGAGAAAGTTCTTGGAGAGTTTAATTAATTAAATAATAAATTTTGTCTAAAATTCAATTGTTTTCAATTCAATATTACAATATACGAAAGTTTCTTAATAAAATTATGTAATATAGGTATTCAAAAATTAAACTTGTAATTTCAATAAGATTTGAACTAAAATTTTTCAAAAAACCAAGTTTTTTAGAATTTTGAATTAAAGATACTCAAAATTCAAATTTTCAAAAATTTTAGTTTAAAACCTTTTGAAATTTAATTATTTCTGAAAATTAATATTGAATTATTATTTTCTAGAAGTTCTAACAAAAATTCTTTTCTAAATCAATTAATTTTAATAATTTGCAAAAAATATTATTCTACAGTTGAATTATTTGAATACAGAAATGCAATTTTTGTTGTATTAATTGCAAACAATTTTAAGGTGAAAAGAAATTTTAAGGATAATTCTAAAGTTTTCAAAATTTTCTAAGGACATCAACAATTAGAATTTTTGTTGCATTTTTAGAAAAATAAAATAAATATAAATAGAAGAATTATTTGTAAGTAATAAAAAATAAGAAATTACTAATTCCTAGCGAGTGAATTTTTCCCCCTTGCATATTATTTCCGCAAATTTTCTTTTCATTCTTATCTCTGGAAGAGACAAAAAAAAAACCCCCACAAAAATCCTCAAACAAAAAATATCTTATCTCACAATTTCTGATAAAGATAATTCTCCGGTTTCTATGATTTATTGCAAACATTTTTTTTTTGCATTTGACATCCAGGTAAAAACAGAAAATGAGAGTGAAAGCGTTTAAAAGAGAGGAAACTGAGATCATGATGCTCGCAAAGGCATTATGTGTGGTTGTAGGAGAGGAGAGGAGTGCCACTTCTAGTATTACTATGGGTGTCGAAATAGAACACTTTAAAACGGAAATGATAGTACATTTCACAAAAGACAAGTTGCAATTATTCCTCCTAGGTTCGTTTGCAAAAAAAAGGAAGCATAATAAAAACGACAAAATCTCCATTATAAAAGAGATGAGATGAGAAAAAATAACTTTTATAATAGTTCATCGAGATTTAATTTTTGATTAGATTGAATGTACATCATCTGCTGAAGCAAGATAGTGCGGATAGAACAATACATCAATGATGCAATTCCCAATGGGAAAATAAATTGAAAACTCGAATCACTGAATTGACAATTGACATTGAATTTTTGCAAACACGCTTCAGTGAACTTGTTGGTAATCGTTAAAAATGCGTGAAATCGATTTTTTTCCTCCAATTTTCTTTGTTTTTATTTTGAAATTTCAAAGTTCTCTGAAGTTTATAAAATGAGAGCGAGCGCCTCCTTTCACCCGTTCACGACCTTTATATGTATGTATATCTACTTAAAAGAAAGAAAGGTGCGCATACATAATAATTCTTTTGACGTTTATGTCCTTCCGTTACTCTCGCAGGATCTGCTTCGGGCTTATCGTATATATTCGCTCTAAAATAATAATATCCGATTTCCTTTTATTATATGCGGCAATCATTTCGCATCACCGACGGAGAGAGATCAATTTTTCCTTTTTCTGAAAACAATGAAAAAGTTGAGAGGCATTAAATTCTATTTTCAATTTCAATTCAAGGAGTGGCGCACAAAAGAGTTCTACTTTTCTCAAATACTTTGTAGGATTTATCGTCGTTAAATTAAAACAACGAAGAAAAAAGAATGGAAGTAAACAAAGGTGTGGTTTCAAAAATCGTGATAATCAAAATCAATTTTTTTCTTTTGTGTGCTTCAAAATATTCAAACTTTTATTTTTGATGATTCATGTACGAAAAGTTTTTATTACAAGTATTTAAATTGAAAATTGATTTTAAAAGAATTGCGGTGACAATTTTAAAGGAAAAAAGAAATATCGCGTGCATGCAATGACTTTGACCGACTATCGTGAACTTTATTTAATTAAATTTGATTATCAAGTAGAGACACACATCCATCTGCACGCTAATGGTGTTATGCTTCGTTAAACCGAATCATGATTTCTTCAAAGCGAATAAGCAAAATCTGCATCATCTTAAATCATCTCAAATAATAATAATTATTGCATTAAAGTAGAAATTAAATGAATTGTAATAGTAAATGTAATTTCAGTTGAAATTTCTTTTTTCTCATCCTTTCAAATTAAATTAATAACAGTGCCGAAATCAGTATAGCAGACTTCGCACTCGATAATTAATTTTAAAAAATTGGCAAAAAGTAGTTTTAAGATTTGAAAGAAGAAGAAAAAAGTAGTTATTGGAAAATTAATTTTGACAACTAAAAAAACTCGTTTTAGTCAATTCATAAAAATCACAATAATTTGATTAAGTAAATACTGAATTAAAAATTAAAAATACTTTTCCTATGACTTTTTTCTGATTTCCATAAAAAATATTCACTTCTTTTTTTATCCTGGTAACAACTTCAACTCTAAATTTTTCTAAAATAAATTAAATTATTTTCTAAATTTTTAATTATAATGCTTCAAAAATAAAGATCAAAAATACGATTTTATTTACTAAAAATAATTTTTAAAATTAAAAAAGAAATAAAATTCTCTATAACAGAAAATTTATTTGAATTAAATTTGACAAAATTTTCAGTTAACAGGAAATTAAATTTAATCTTTTTATAAATTATTTGAGAACGAGGATCTAACTATCTTCAAGAAGTTTTAGTGATAATTTTTCAAAAGACTAATTTTTCATAATTTCTAAATTAAATTATTCAAAACTTGAATAATTTTCTTTAAATAAATATATTAAATATTTATTTATTATTATTTTATTTTTCCCTAGCAATTAATATTTTAAAAGATTTCAATGTAGAAACTTTTTAAAATTTAACTATTTCTAAGAATTACAAATATAACTTTCAAAATTCAATAATTTTTTGAAATTTTATATAATATTATTCAAAATATTAATAATTTTTTAAGAAAGTAATAAATTAGTACATTTTTAAAATAAATATTTAAATGTTATTACAGTTTACAACTTAAAATTTTCAAAGACTTAAATTTAAAAATCATTGCAAATTTAATTATTTTAAACAATTCATTCTATAATACTTTTAATATTCAATTATTATCTAAAAATTTAACTGAAATTCATTTTTAAATCAATTTATTGTTAGAAAGTTCTAAAAGAATTTAATTATTTAAATAATTGAACAATTGATTATTTCTTAAAATTGAATTCTTTTAAAGAATTTCATTAAAAATTTTATAAATAATTGAATTCTTTTGAAGGATTTCAATAAAATTTTTAAGAATAATTGGATTTTTCTAGGAATTTATTTAAAATTTATATTAAAAATAATTGAAATCCTGCAAAGAATTTTATTTAACTTTTTTTAGCATTTGAATTTCTTTGAAAAATGTTATTATTTTGGAATAAATAATTAAATTCCTTTGAAGCATTTTCTAATTTTTTAAAAAAATTTTGAAAATAATTTAATTCTTTCGAGGAATTTAATAGAAATTGCATTGAAAATAATTTAATTTCTACAAAGAAATATTATTATTTATGTAAATAATTAAATTCCTATATAAACAAATTTTATCAAAATTTTTGTAATTACTTAATATTTTTCTAAGAATTTTATAAAAGTGTTCTAAATAATTGATTTCTTTCAAAATATTTTGAAAATAATTGAATTATTTCAAGGAATTTTATTACAATTTATTGTACTGAAAATAATTCAATTCCTCAGAAGAATTCGATTATTTGCGAAGATATTTGAATTCCTGCGACAAATTTTAATAAAATTTTTGAAAATAATTAAATTCTTTTGAAGATTGTTATTACAATTTTAAAAAATAATTGAATTATTTTCGAAAGATTTTAATAAAATTTTTAAGAATAATGACATTTTTGAAGAATTCATTAAAAATATTGTATTAAAAATAATGGAATTTTTGTGAAAAATTTATTGTACTACGAACATAATATTGGTTTCTTGCAAAGAATTTTATTATTTTTTGAAATAAAATTTAATTTTTCTTTGAGAATTTTTTCATAAAAATTTTGAAGATAAAAAAACTCTTTCAAGGAATTTAATTAGAATTAGTATTAGTATTTAAAAATCTTATAACATTATTTTTTAAATAATTGAATTCATTCAAAGCATTTCCATTAAACTTTTTAAAAATAATTGAATATCATCAAGGAATGTCATTGATTGAAAATAATTGATTTTTGCGAAGAATTTTATTACATTTTATGAATAATAGAATTCTTGTGAAATGTTTTATTATTTGTGAAAATAATTGAATTCTTGCAAAGAATTTGATAAAAATTTGTTTAAATTGGATTTTTTAGAAGAATTTTTAAAAAAAATTTTGAAAATAATTAAATTTTTTTCAGGAGTTAAATACAATTGTATACAAAAAATTTGAATTCTTATAAAATTTTTTAGAATAATTTTTTTGTTTCAACTATTAACGGATTTATAAAGAAGTGCAAATACTCAAAAGAAGAAAAAAGTATAGCTTTTAGTGTCACAAATCTGAAAAAAAAAAATTCAAATTGTATATCAAAAGATAAAAAAGTTTTTAACGTTCAAATGATCGAAATACTTTTCATTGAAAATATTTTTATAATTTACTAATTGCAAAAAAATTAAAAACCTAAATTTAACATTTAGAAAATTTGTAATTAATTCGAATGAGTAATGAATCACCAAAAAAAAAAAATTGTTGAATCCAGAAAAGAAAATTCCAGTTAAATAAAAAGAATTGCGACAATAAGAAATTTATGGAAAGTGTTAATGTGAACACGTGTTATAATGATGGTTTTCGATCAATGACACTTCCATAAAGGCAGGAAGGAGAATCAAGAATCGAGTGTACATAAAAGGTGATGATGTCGTCATTCAGATCGAAATATCGTCACATACTCACACACATTAATTTGACCTCCGTTTTTCTCTCGTTTCACGCATAAGCACAAAATATCGCGAGCAAATTGGCAAATGATTATATTGACCGAGAGTTTCGAGATCTCCCGCCTAATATGAGAAAATCCAGTTAAGATTCAAGCCTATTTTCAGAAATCAAAACCAAAAATGGTTATCAAGTAAAATAAAAAGGGAAAAAGTGAAAGTTACAGCATCTCCTTTATCATAATTTTAAATTCAATTTATTATAATTATTATTACAATTAAAATTGGAAAGGGGGGGGGGGGGTCGAAGAAATTTTCCAAAAGAAAAATATAGATAGAAATGGAATGTTTTAATTTTCAATATTCATAGGACGATTTTTATGTTGTAGGATTATATTAAAAACATCTGTTTAGGTTTGTATATTATTTTGCACGTCTCGATTATGTTGATTCGTGACATAGGAATATAATGCGATCCTAACAAAAACCATTCAATGAATTTTAATTCATTGTCAGCCGATCGTCGCGGGAAACCGGAAATGAAGTAAACAAAAGAATTTTTTTTACTGAAAAGAATGCAAGTAATAATTTACATAGTTCTTTAATATTTATAAATCATTGACAATTTTGAAAAAAAAATTTCCTTTTTTATATAAAAAAATCCAGAAGGATATAATATGTACGAATTAATTATTATTGAGAGATGAAATTTTTTATGCATTACAACAATTTGAAAATTGATTTTATATTTAAAAATTGTGTACATGATCTAATTACCACAATAATTATACCTTTCAATCCTTTCATTAATTCGTTTCGTGTTACTGTAATTTCAATTTATCGATTGACTTTGTCATACAAACAATTTTATTTCTATTTTTCCTTTAATTTAAATGATGAAAAAATTCTAGATTTTGCACACTTGAAAACATAAAAAAATAAAGATAAAGATAAACATATTTTTCACAAAAAAGAATTTATAATAATTCTAAATTTCATTTTTTTCTGTATATTTTCAAAAATTACTATAAGGAAAAATAATTTAAATTAAACAATGGCTTACTTAAAAATTAATTTTTCTCATTTAAAAAATAATTTTTTATAGAAAAATACAAATTAACAGTAGTGTACTAAAAGTATCGTCGTTTATATGAAAGTTAAAAACTTTAGAAACATTGTTTCACTTGAATTAAAAGTTAGAAACGAACTTTCAAACGGGAATTTTATTCTCTAAAAAATAGTATTTAACTTATTTGTTTAGAATGCACTCTGTGCTTTATACCAAAAAGGTTGAACTTTAAAAGACCAATTAAATAAATTATCTAATATTTAAATAATAATCAGTATATTAAAAATGTGTGCAACTTTAATGACTATATACACATTTGATAAACACTCGTGAAAAGTAAACACCAAAAGCAATTATTCACCTTTTCAATGTTATAGATAATAGTAATTTTACATTTTAAAACCAATAATTATAAATATAGGGACAGTTTGGTTCAATTTTCATTCATAAATATTATATTTATAATATTTAAACTCTTAATTTTCAAAGATCATGAAAAACAAACCTAACCTATAAAGTTTTTAAAAATTCCCATAAACAATTAACTTTCACATTCAAATCTACACTTTAACAACTTATTTTACTAATAACATAATATCTTACTGTGATTTCTCGACTTTTTTCCTTTAAAATTCCAATTAAAACAAATCGTCCACGTGATATTGACTCTACAATGTAAAGTTAATAAATATACACTCCGCTTTTTCCGTTACAGAAGGGAACACAACACATGCACTTTTAGTTAATATACCGCAGAATATAAAGCTTTTAATTCCCTTAGGAATTAAATTGTTTTTCCTTTACACGCACTTTTATGCACACTGTTGTTTGAAAATTTATCATGTAAAATTTTTCAATGATTTATCACTGATGGTATATGAAAAACCGGCTAAATAAAAAGATATATATCATCGAAATAAATCAAAACTTATTTTATCAAAACAGTCAAACAAACCAAACTCGGACGTGAGCAGAACTCGTACTAAACATGCTAAACACAAAAGTATTAACGGTGTCTCTGTGTGGGTGTCTGACACTTGCAAGAGAGGGGAATTATGTCAGCGTGGAAGGGAGAGATATTGCGCGAAAACAGGTTTTTTCAAAAAAATTAACGGGGATTTCTTTTTTGTTAGAAAATTTGTTTAAATTGTTTTTAATTGGAAGAATTAATTTGTTATTAAACTTAAAAGAGTTTATATTAAAAAGTATTTTAAATACTTTTAAGTAAAGTAACTTTAAAGTACGTCCCTAACTTCAGGCTATTACTTCGGTTGGCAACACTGGCGATGGCAACATTGAACATTTGGACTTGTTTTTCGATCGTAGCGCTCCGTACTTTCGGCATTATTTAGAAGCAGTATTTCCTCAAAATACAAGACGCGACTCGAGATTTTTTTAGCACTCACACATTTTTTAAAATCAACGGAAAAATTCGCAAATGGCGGTTAGAGTGTAGTGTTTATTCGAACGGTAAAACTAAAAAGAAAATAAATATGGGTTGCGCTAACAAAATGGATTGCTGGGTCCATCGATTATGTTTGGAAACTATCACTCTTTTAAATGTTGATGAAACTATTCAAATGACATCGCACGAATTCTTTTTTCCGAACATGTGCCATGTTTGTCGTCGTTTTGGTGAAAATGCTATCAACCTGAAAAGATGCGGTGCCTGTCAAATGATATCTTACTGCAGTCGCGAACATCAAGTGAAAGATTGGTCAAATCATCAAGCATTTTGCCATGCGGTGTGTGCATTAAAAAAAGAATTCAAATTAAAAACTTTATTTGATTCATTCAAACGCGCAGCTGCCGAGAATAGTGAAGATAAATTAATATATCGAAAAGAACTTGATAGCATTATTACAAACTGGATAACCGAAATAATCATCAAGCTTGAGAGAAAACTGACAAAAATTGAATATCAAATGTTAGTGCATCCCAGAGTCTGCACCGTTTGTTTCGAAAGTGATCCAAAACTACTCGTGAATTGTAAGAATTGTCCTCTGGCGTGTTTTTGTAAGAAGCATTTAAATGATCCTAGTCATGAGAGTGCTTGTAAAAAATCATGTTTTAATGGAGTGAGAAGTGTATTTTATAGTAATAGAACTTTTTCATCGGCTGAATGTGAAATGATAAATTCTCAGTATCATCCTGCAGAAAAGAAATTACCCGCTTCCATGCTTGAATTCACTGAAATGCGTTCATCGACAGATTTATCTCAATGTGGAATTAATAATAAAGAAGTCGACGATGAAATTAAATCAGTTGTTTTAAAACGCTTCTTATCGGATCGTTTTTCAAGAGGATTTACAATACTCTTTGCCATTGAGAAATTGTCTCTTAATTTAAAAGAGTCATTGGTGATTCACATCATTGGATCACATATCAAGGAATTTCAGACCAACGATTGGGAAATGATACTGCATTACATGCCGAATTTGAAGAAGCTTCATTTGATTTTCATTGGTCCTGAATTGCTCTTTGGTTCTTCGAAAACAATTGCAAATGTTTGTGACGTTTGCAAACAGGAAGGCAGAAAATTATTTGTTGAGAGAAAAAGCGTATTGTATCATCAATATGCGAGAGGTGAAAATTTTCTACAACCTGACTTGATGGCCTGTTTTAATCCGGCTTTCGTTCTTCATAAAACTTGGAATGATTCAATAAAAGCTTTTAAAAAAGGACAGTGTCCATTGCTAGTAACTGCTCTGCACACTTATGAGGCAGAGGTGGATAAAAAATGTGTTGATTCAAGATTTCCTTCAGCAAAATGTATTTTCAACGATTTTAATCCTTTTACTTACATCTTCTTTCTAAGGCAAAGTGTTTATTTTCCTTTGGGAGCCAATAACCAATGTCTTTACATCTACGAGTATCTCAACAAAAAGAAAAGATCCAAGGAATCCAAGTAACTTCAATTTAAACGAAGGTAAGATTTTTAATGCAGTTAGTCCTCTTTTTTACCTAATCCCCTTTTTCTCCTCTTTTCCCCATTTTTATCCCCTTAAATTAATAAAATCCTTTAAAACACATAAAATCATAAATTTTCTCCCCTTTTCTCTTTCTTTTTAAGAAAAACTTAGAAAAATTGCTATTTTTTGTAAGTTAGAAAAATTTTTAGTTATGTTTGAAAAAAGTATTTTTACTTTTCTCAAACTTTGGAAAAATTTTAGTATTTTGAAACTAAAAAATCTTATATTATTTCTCACCCTTAAAACTTAGAAATTTTTTCATAAAAGGTGACAAATATAAACAGGGTGGCCACATGTCAGTAAAGTCAGGGAAATGTCAGGATATCAAAATTTTTAATTAAAATTCATCAAAAAAATTAATTAGCATTTTTAAATTATACAAAAATTCTTTTAAGAAATTCAATTATTTTCGAAAACTTACATTAAAATATTTTTAAAAACTAATTCTTAGAATTGTTTTATCATAATTAAAGATTCAATTATCTTCGAACAAAGTAAATAAAAATTTACTTTTTTAGACTTACATGTTAAAATTTCGGAGAAATCATGGTCATATTTTTTATAATTAAAATTCTTCAAAAATTTGATTATTTTTATTTATATTTTTCAAAACTTCGATTTTGTCAGGGAAAATAATTTTAATGTCAGCAAATTGTCAGGGAAATTGATAAACTGAAACTTGTGACCACCCTGATAAAATAAATTTAACTCCAAAAAAAAATCCAAATTGTTTGGAATTCTTGACTAATTGTATTAATTTAAAGAATTATTTACTAAATTCAAAAAGTATATTTTACTAATTTTCAATAAAATTTACTCTGGAAAAAAATATTTTTAATAGCAAAATGTACTATTTTCGGTGTCAAGTTTTTTATAAAAGATAATAAGCTATTAAATATTTCTATTATTAGAGTAAATTTTACTATTTTTGAAAAAAAACAAAAGATAATTTAATTTAAAAAAGCTGAAGTTAAAAGAAAAAGTAAAAAAAAAAATCTAATTTTTACTTAATTTAAAAATGCACTTTTTTGAAAAATAAAATCCCTTTTTTTCCTAATATTACATGAAAAAATCATGCTGTGATCCTTGCAATTTATATCTATGTCAAAAAAATTATTTTTGAAAAAAGTATTTACAGAATTTATTTTGTGTTTCAGAGAGTTGCAGACTTCGGTTTCGGAAATTTATTTCTTGAAGACTAAGAAGAGATAAATATTTGTTAAACAAAGTTTTGATAGAATCTTTATGTTTTGTGTTCGTTTAGTTTATTATTTTAAAACCTGTCAATATAGAGGTTAGGAATCATTCTTGCTTTTTTCTGTTGAAAATATTTCAAAGAATTTATTCTCATGTTTATTTAAACTATTTTTAATTACATTATGAATAAATCGTGTCAAATTCACAATTGACTTGTGTGATGAAAAAAAAATTTAAGCAGAATTAAAAATTTGTAACAAAAAGTGATTAACATTTTATTTTGTTTAGAAAATACAGCACCTTTGAATTATTTTATAAACATCCTAATTTTACAATTTTTTTGTGAATTACATCGATTTATATATTAGAACTCATTTAGTTAAAATAAAAATTTATATTCATACTTATAAAAATTTATATTATTTTCAAATGGATTTATTAAAAAAAATTTTTTTTTTTGAGAAAGAAATTTATACATAAATTCAAAATATCCGCCAGGGCAATATTTTCACGGTTGTGATAGGCTGGACAAATTTCCACCAAATTTGGGGGTGCTACTCTCTGTACCAAAAACATAAGTTCGAATGCTCATTATGCCGAATTTACAATTTAGAAATGACCAGATACGCGAATCCTCAATAACCTAAATTGTATATTGAATGAAATTCAAAAGTAGGGAATAATCATTTGATATATTCTGCATATGGAGAATATTATTTTAAACTAATTCTTTTTTTCCACAATTTGAAATTATTGCAATTTTTATTTTTGGAATTTCCACTTTACCTACATTTTAATAGATCGAAACGTAAAATATCAGAATTGACATTTAATTGAAATATGATGGAGAATAAATATATATTCACTGAATAAAAAGATTAAATAATTATTAAATGTTTGAATTTAATAAAAACATATTGTTCAAAAGTTACAGTGCGAATTGTACAGAATATATATTAATAAGAAATATAATTTGGCAGAATGTCGATTCGATCGATTTTATATTTGCAAGAAATTCAATTTGACAGAATATCAATTTATAAGAAACACGTTTTCGTAGAACTTTAACTTGTCAGAATTGTAATTTTGTAGAATATTAATATTGGCAAATCTAATTTTGGTAGAAATCTGCTTTATCAGAATGATCACATGTTCGAATCCTCAAAAGTTAGAATTCCATTTTTACCGAAAATGGATTCCACATAAATATTTGGCGCAAATTTTAAAATTCTGATTTCTGATTGGTCGATTTTAAAATTTGCGCCAAATATTTATGTGGAATCCATTTTCGGTAAAAATGGAATTCTAACTTTTGAGGATTCGAACATGTGATCATTCTGATAAAGCAGATTTCTACCAAAATTAGATTTGCCAATATTAATATTCTACAAAATTACAATTCTGACAAGTTAAAGTTCTACGAAAACGTGTTTCTTATAAATTGATATTCTGTCAAATTGAATTTCTTGCAAATATAAAATCGATCGAATCGACATTCTGCCAAATTATATTTCTTATTAATATATATTCTGTACAATTCGCACTGTAACTTTTGAACAATATGTTTTTATTAAATTCAAACATTTAATAATTATTTAATCTTTTTATTCAGTGAATATATATTTATTCTCCATCATATTTCAATTAAATGTCAATTCTGATATTTTACGTTTCGATCTATTAAAATGTAGGTAAAGTGGAAATTCCAAAAATAAAAATTGCAATAATTTCAAATTGTGGAAAAAAAGAATTAGTTTAAAATAATATTCTCCATATGCAGAATATATCAAATGATTATTCCCTACTTTTGAATTTCATTCAATATACAATTTAGGTTATTGAGGATTCGCGTATCTGGTCATTTCTAAATTGTAAATTCGGCATAATGAGCATTCGAACTTATGTTTTTGGTACAGAGGGTAGCACCCCCAAATTTGGTAGCCAATTAGAAAAGAGTATTTCAAGGATCTACCCAACCCTGATGTTTGAATTGAACACAAAACGGCAAAGATACCTAACCTCTATTGACTGTTTGAGTGGTTTGAGTTCATCAAAGTTGACAATAAATAATTTAAATTGTTGATAAATTTCGTTTTAAAAAGTGTTAAATAACAAAATAAAAAAATGTCCAAGTTTCCAGAGGACTATAGGCCAAATAATTCATGTATGCCTTCAAATGTGGAAAAGACTTTTCAATCAAGATTTTTTTATCCCAACATGTGTCACGTTTGTCATTGTTTGGAATCGGAAACAATGAAATTAAAAAGATGCGGAAACTGTAATATGATATCGTATTGCAGCAAAGAACATCAATTTGAACATTGGTATTTGCATAAGGAGTTCTGTCGAGTTATTTCAATGTTATTAAAAGTGAATGGAACAAACAATGTATTTCAATTCATGAAAACAAACGAGGATCCAAATGAACGTTTTAAAGAAAAGGCAATGCTCCTGACAATGTTGAGGGAAAAAATGAACAGAGATCTTTATGATTTTGAGAATCAAATGTTGTTTTATCCAAGAATGTGTGAAGTTTGCTTTGAAACAAATCCCAATTTGCTTATAAATTGTCAGCATTGTCCTCACGGGACTTTTTGCACAAAGCATAAAAATAAATCGCAACACAACGAGATATGCTTCTTTTATAGAATTTGTTACACATCAGACTATTATCTTTTTTGTGACGAGAGTTGTCGAATAATACCGTCAATGAAAAATGTTCCTTTTAATCAAGAGGAAAATTTTAAAATGCCCAAAAATATGCTAATGTTCTTGCAAGAATACATCACTGAAGTTCCACTTGCTTGGAAGGATTTGACAAAATACGACTTTTGGGTTTACGTTTGTTCGGAATTTTTTTCCAAACCCTTAACAATGTTGTATGCTTTACAACAATTGAACGTTAAAATACAGTCGACGTTGACTGTTCATATTATAGGTATACAATTTTTTTTATTTTTATTTCAGTAATTTAAGTAATTTTTAAAATTAAATTTGTTATTTAAATTTTATGCAATGAAATTTGTCTATTTTTATATTTTATTAAGTACCTATACATTGAAATATAGGTTTAAATGTAATCAAACAGACGGTAATGAAAAAGTATGTACGATATAAGTTCAGAAGAGAATATTTTGAAAGTTTGTTTACAATTTAAAATATAATAGACTGACCCTGTGACTAACGGTATAGATGAATTAAAAATTTAAATTTAAATTTACTTTTAAAAACGAAATTTTTTAAAAATTTTAATTTCATGTTTTCAGTTATAAACCATATTTTTGATAGAATAAAAAATAATTTTCTTCAAGCATCCTTAGGAATGTAATTCTAAAATTACATTTTAATCCAACAGGTTTAGCAGCTTCAATGAAAGATGCATTTCAATCCATGGAAACAATTCTACATTTACTAAAGCAACTGAAAACGCTGAATATTATTCTAATCAGTCCAAACTTGATTGAGCGAATTGAGGAAATAAGTCAACAAGTGAACTTATGCAGTCGATGTGTCGAGAATGAAAAGAATTTCTCAATGACAGGATACAAAATGGCCTATTCGTCTTACGTTTGCAGTAGATCTTTCAAATCTCCCGATATCATTATTTCCTATGACTTTGGAGATCTTAAATGTCAATTGTTGGATCAAACCCTCATGGAAATGAAGAAACTTCCCGCTCCACTTCTCGTGACAAATAATACATTTTCAAGAGCGATGAATCATCAAAAAAGAATGGACGATCTTGTCCATTATCTCACGAGCGATGTGCACATTCAAAAAAATCCCTTTAAATCTGCTTGGCCCTATAGAAATGAAGTGGACGATTCTTTGAATTTACACAACAACTATTTATCCGTTTATACTTTACACAATGTTGAAAGAGACAATCAGCAGCAACGAAGCAATCAGTCCAGTGAAAATATTCCCGAGTTAGCAACAAATGAGAACAATGGAAAAGTCGACGAAAAAAGTTCAAATGAATCTAACAAAGTGGAAGATGCTCCGAGTGTGTTAAACCAGGCCGTCAAAACTTCCGACACGGAGAAATCGAAGAAAAAAAAGAAAAAGAAGAAGACCAATCAAAGTTCTGATATTTCAAATCCGATACTGTCGACAAGTAATGAAGCACCCGAATTGCCACACGAGACATCATCGAAAATCGACGAAACTCCCCAAAACGATGAACAAATTGTTGCCTTAACTGTTCAATTGTCTAGTGCCAGTATTCAGGAAAATCAAGACGCAAAATCTGATCCAAATGTCGAGAAAAAGAAAAAGAAATCTAAAAAGAAGAAACCAAAGTCCGAAGTTCAGAATGATTCAAGTACCTCCGTTCAAAATACTTCAGAAAATGTTCAAAGTACCAAAAATCAAGAAAATAAATTAGAAACTAAAACTGAACAAACTAAAATCGAAAAGAAAATTGATACAGCAGATGAACACAAAAAAGGAAAAAAGGAAAATAAAACCGAAAAAATTGAGGAAGCGAAAGAAGAGACGAAAAGTGACGCAAAAAATGGAAAAATTGAACCAATAAAGGAAATTAAATCCGAAGAAACCGAAAGAGAGAAACTTGAAGTAAAACCGAAAGGAAAAATTGAAGAGAATAGAGAAATGAAACCCGATGAAATGAAAAAAGAAGAAGAAAAAACGCAAGAGGCGAAAGAAGAAGGAAAAATCGAAACGAATGAAGAAAATAACACCTTAGAAGCAAACGAAGAGAACAAAATTGAAGGAAGGGAAATTAAACGAAAGAAAAAGAAGAAATCCAAAAAACAAGCGCCTACAACCAAAGATAATGAACCCGATGGAGCACTAAATTTTCAAATAAAAGTTGCTCATTCCAAATGCGTTTTGAATTCATCAGAAGAATTAAAAAATGTCATCGAAGAAAGTCAATCACAATATCTTTTTCAACATCCACCAACTGAAGAAACACTCGAACAATTAGTTGAAGAGAACCGAAGACTTTTTGTGAATGTCGAACAAATTGCGGAAGAATATAAAATGCTGAAAATCACTGGTAAACAAACGGCAACTTCCATGTTGCAAGAAATGGAATGTCTTCGTATGAGTTTGGAAAATATTGAGGAAAAAATAATGACCATGTTTCCTGGTGAATTTGATTAAAAGAAAAAAAAACCATTTCTCTTTTCTAAATCGACGAATTTTTGTTTACAAACGAAAAAGATTTTTATTTTGTTTCAACTTTTTTTTTATCCATTCTTATATTTTTTTCAATTTATCCTTAGAATGAGAAAAATTTGTATTATTTTGTAACGTTTCGTTGTGTTCATGTATTTAATTATATGTTTTAAAGAAAAGGAAACAGTCACTTCGGAAAAGAGAAGATTAATGACATAGAAGACTGATAAAATGCGACGAAAAGTATTATTTAGGGTAAAAGTTTATAAGAGAAAAGAACAAATATATTTTCTACGAAATAAAACGTGTATTTTAATAGAAATGTGAATACAAGAAATATATTTAGTACGTCAACTTTGTTAACAAATTCATGTAATAATTGTTTATAACAATACAAAGAAATTTAATATGAGTAAGTTTTAGTAATTAATTCAATCGCCAGTGACAAAGTTTGTTTTAAATAATAAAACAATTTTAATATTTATAATTATTTAACATTCAAGTAATTTAGTGTAAATTTAAATACAATGAGATAAATTATTTGTTTTTCGCTAAACTTTCTAATATTGTTTGAATCTTTTCAAAAGGTATGTTTTTATCTAATTTCACTCGGTCACAATTTCCGAGATTAAAACATTTTAGCCATTCTGGCACTGAATTGCATATTATTTTTATATGCTTCTTTAATTCTAAAATTGTTAATTTCACTTTATAAGAAAACTGCACTTTTTCTACTAAAGAACTTAATGGGAGAACATTTTTTCTTTCACTTACAAAAATACAGCGAACAATTTTAGCAACAGCAGGAAGTCTTGGGTAATAATCTTTTTCCACTGCCTAAAAATATATTAACAATTAAACATATATTTAAATTTACAAATTAATCAATGTTGTTTTAAACTAATTTCAATTTAATTAAATGAAAAAAATTAACTTAAAAGGAAACAATTTTACAGTCAATTTAAAAAAAATAAAAAATGAAGTAAATTAATTAATTTTTAATTACAAACTCACCTGTTTGGAAATATTCTTTGTATTCTCTTCTGCTGGCACTTGCGAAGTTTTTAAACTTTCCATTACTTTCTCTGAAATAAAATCAAATTATTTTATAAATCAAAAATTAAATAATTTGGAATTTAATTTATAACTTTAAATATTTTTTTTATTGGAAAAAAAATTAAAAATACAGTGAATTATACAAATTTCTTATATTTAGTGAGAAAATAATAAATTACAAGTGATATCGAAAACTTTTGTGAAACCTTTTTCGGTAATATTAAAAAAGGTGGGGGTGAAAAATGATTGAATTATTCTTACAAATATAGAATTTTTAAAAAATTCTCATGCCTTGTGATATTTTGAAATGGAAAGGGTAAATTATAAATAATTGGAAAATTATGTGTGACGCCATTTTCCAGTCATTACGAAGGAGAAAATGGTTTAATTATTGATAATTTAAAGCGGGAAAAAGGACATTGTTAGTGTCTTTTTATTTTTAGAAAATTTTTAACATTTCCGAGGAATGAAACGAAATATTTTGTTGTTAGTAAAATGTAGACACACAAAATGAAAAACATTATTATTCTCAATAATTTTAATCATTGCATAATTAAAAATTGCTTCGTTTTTTTTAGTTTTGAGATTAGGCGGAATTTTTGGCGGAAACGACAACGCAATGTAAGTTTGACATCAATATTCGTGAGTACTTGTAATAAAAATATTATTAATGACCTTGCAATTAAAGTCACAATTTAATAGAAAAATGCAAAATCAAAAATTAATTTAAATGCAATCAACTGTAAGCAATGTTTGAAAAAAGTGCTTTAAAAAATCCTCATTACTTTACAATTACAAGACTTTCATAGATTAGGGAAATCAGCAAAAAGTCATTTTTTATTGAAAGTACTGGAAAATTTTTACAATTCAAAAAAAAATTCTTAATTTTTGTGACTTACAGTTTGCCTCATAAACTATAAAATTACCACGAACTCTAATACGAAACCTTCAATTTTTTCTATTTCTGACATTAATTTATTTGAAGCAATTTAATTTTTAAAGAATTATAATAAAATTATTGCTTTATAAATTATTTAATAAATAATTTTACTTAAAAATTTCTATTTAATTTGAAGTTTTTTTAACTTCGTTTTTTGAAAAATTTTAATAATTAAAATTCTTTTAAAATTAGTTGACTTTTTAAATATATGTATATTTTTAGTCAAATTCAAACCTTTCGAAATACAATAACTTATAATAATTATAAACATGACCGAATGATAAAATCATTATTTTATATTATAAGAAAAGGAGAATAAACGAAGACATTCAGACAATTAATTTTTTAAAAAATTGGGTTTACTCCCTCTTCAGGAAGTTTATAAAAATATAAAAAAATAAATATACAAAAAGTTTAACATTCGTCAATCATTATAAGCAACAGAATATTGTTGCAGCAACTTTTATAAAATTATTTTCATCATTTCAATTCAATTATTATTTTCCAGAATTTTTAAACTAAAATTCTTTTTTAAATCAATTATTTTTAATAATTTTTGAAAAAGTTCTTATTTGAGAATTTTCAAATCCATTCATTTACAAATCAATTTTACGAAATTTCGAGTATTCAGAAATTCTTCAATTTAATATATATTAGAAAGTAAAAACTTTGAATAATTTAAAAAAAAATTCAATTATTTTTAAAAACTCACGCTTTAATGCTTTTAATATTCATTTATTATTTAAAATTTTAACTAAAATTCATTTTTAAATCAATTTTTATTAGAAAATTCTAAAAGTATTCTATTATTTAAATACAAAAATAAATAATTTAATGAATAATTGAATATTTCTTAAAATTGAATTTTCATAAAGAATTTTATCAACAAATTTTAAAATTTAAAATAATTGAATCTTTTCAAAATATGTTATTATTTGGAAAATAATTGAATTATTGCGACGAAATTAAAACAAATTTGTAAATAATTGAATTCCTGTGAAATTTTTATTATTTATTTATTTATGAAAGTAATTAAATGTTTTCATAGAAGTTTATTAAATTTTTTTTATAATAAAATTTTGGGAAATTTTATTAAAATAGTAGATATTGAAAATCATTGAATTAAGAAAATTTTTTGAAAATAATTTTATCAAAATTTTTTTTAAATAATTCTTTTGGAAAATTTTATATTATTAAAATAGTATATATTGAAAATCATTGAATTGATGAAAATTTTTAATAATAATTGAATTTTTGCCAAGAATTTTATTAAAATTGTTGAAAATAATTGAATTTCGGAGAAGAATTTTATTATTTATAAAGTTAATTGAAATTTGGACGAGAATTTTCTTAAATTTTTTAACATAATTGAATTTCTACAAAAAAATTTATTCATTTTGAAAATAATTAAATTTCTGCAAACGTTTACAACTTCTCCAAAATTAAATTTTTTTTTATTGTATTTAACTAAAATTCTTCCATAAATCGATTATTTTTTAATAATTAATTAAATATACATTGAAAAATTTAACTAATTTTAGAAGAATTTGAATTATTAAAATTTTTCAAAAATCTATGTTCTTTAAAATTTCTAATTACATAAATTCATTCAAAATTGAAATTTTCTAAAATTTCAAATTAAAACCTTTTGGAGTTCATCTATATTTATGAAAATTGTAAACGCAACTTTTTAAAATTCAATTAATTTTAAATATTTAAGTAAAATTTTTCATTAAATAATTATCAAGTAATAATTTTATGATATAGTTCTTCAAGAATTAATTTATTTAAAAATAAATTATTGTCTGAAATAGAGAAAATTATATCTCTTATTCAAAAAATTAAATTTTTTCCAATACTTTTAATAAAATTCCCTGACTTCGCTGACCTATGGCAACCCTCTTATTAAAATTAATTTATTTAAAGAAGAATTTTAGCTAAAAATTCTAGAAAACAATAATAAATTGAAATCAAGAAAATAATTTTAAAGAATTAACAGGAACATGATTTTTATAAGTTATTGAATTTTAAAAGGTTTCTATTTGAAATTTTTGAAAATCCCTATTCCTATGGAAATATAATAATGATTAAATATTTATTTAAAATAATACTAATGATGATTTTGACTAATTTTACAATTAAAGAAATTCGCAAAAATAAATTTATTAGAACAGTTTTTTGAGTATCTAATAATTTTTAGACTGAAGCAGAATATTCTTCAGGGTTAGGGGAAAAGTCAAAATTCTGTCTGGAAATCAGTGAAAAACCAAAATTAAATTTTTTGTGGAAACCCTGAATTATAAAAAGAAAGCAGAACTTACCCAAAACTTGTTTCGGCGAAGTTATTTTAGTTAACCTAAAAAATTCCAAGTCGGAAATTTCAATTGGTTTACATTTTTCAACATCAAAATTAGGATGCCAGCAATTAATTTTTACTTTTCGAATCACTGAACTCGATTTACTAGTTTCTTTTAAAAATTGTTCGTGTTGACATTTAACTCTCTCTGTAAAAAAAAATTGTTTAATTATTAATTAATTAAATAAATTAAAATTTTTAATTACCCCTTTAATTTTAAAAAACAATATTAGTTAAATACCTAAGAGTGCATTGTAGAATTTTTTCTTTCTTACAGAAAGAACAGTTTCGTTGTCTTCGCCTTGTAAATTAGATTCATTGTCAAATTTTGGCTCCAAGATAATTTCGTATCCAGTTTTATTTGGGTCTGATAATTGCAGCATTTCTTTTCGTTTAAATGAAAATGCTTCAGGAAATAGTTTGTGAATTTTGGCCAGTTCTTCTAAATTAACTTTTTTATTTGCCATATTTTGAAGAGCAGGTTGCAATTTATTGAAAGTTATAACACTGCCTCTTTTGTACAGCATCATTGCAATCTAATAGAGAAATTTGCATTAAATTTTAGTATTTAAAAATTTATCTTAAAATTAATTATAAAATTCGTTTAAAAACTTATTTTACGATTATTTAATTAATTTTTTTGTGCTTTTTAAAAAATAGTTAAACTTTCTGAAAATTATTTAAAAAATAAATTTATATTCTTCACAAATTTTTCAATGTGTAAAATAAATTTTTCAAAGAAATTAACATTGGTAAAAATGTATAAAAGATAAAAATAGAAAAAATCTTACAGAATCAATGCTTGTAAAAACGTTTAGTAAAAAGTCATAGTCCTTTGGTAGCGGTAAATTAGTTGCAGTCACTACATCTAAAACTGCTTCTTCTTTCTTTAATCTGAAAATAAAAAAAATTACTCAATTGAAAATTAATGTTAACTATACACGGAGAAAAAAATCAGGGCTTTTTAGCATGGAGTGGTCTGTACCTTTAGCGCATGGGCGCTTCCTTACGGCGAAAGAACGAATTTGTACGATTGCAGCAAGAGCTCGCCCTATTTTAGTAAGGAGCCTTGCTGCAATCGTACGAGTTCGTTCTTTCGCCGCAAGGAAGCGCCCATGCGCTAAAGGTACAGACCACTCCATGCTACAAAGCCCTGATTTTTTTCTCCGTGTAGGTATGAAAAGTTATTTTAATATTTAAAAATACAATTGATATTACTTTGTAGGAGTAGATATTTGAACTTTCTTTTTGCATTTGAATTTTTCCGATTTTAAGTTTCCTATTTCAGTTTGTTGTGAATTCTTTTGACATTTTACTGCAACGTCATCAACAGTTGATTCTTTATGTTTCTCTTCTAAAATTATATTCTCCTTAATTAATGGTTTTGGTTTTTCAATATTTTTCAAAGGCAAATCATTTGTTTCTTGTGTATTACTTGTGATTGTTTTCAATGTATTCTTTTTTAAGATAGCTTTTGATTTTGTTTCCTTCTTCAGAACTGAAATTAATAACTTGGATGCATTGGTTTCATTTACTTTTGTTTCCTCTAAATTTTGTGCAGTTTTTTTCAAACGTTTAATTGATTGTTCATTATCTTTTAAATTATCCAATGATTTTCTCTTCGACTTTCTCTCATTAAAGAAATCTGTTATTCTTGGTTGTGACATTTTCTCCACATTTTCCTTTCTTTTTCGAGTTCGGAGCATTTTTATATTTGTAGAATATTCCTAAAAAAACAAATTATAATGATTTTATTTTGGTTTATTTTGCTTTCTTTTAAATTTGTTATTCTTATATATTCGTATATTTTTACTATTTTTATTTGTAATTATTATAAACTAGATATAAGTAAGATTATAAATAAGATTCTCATTTGATTCGATTATAAATTATTAAATTTTAATTATGGATTTAATTTTACTTATAAATAAACAGATAAAAATTTTGAGGTTAGGAATGAAACAATTCCACTATAGATTAATACAAAATACTTTTTTGGCAATGGGATAAAGAATTTTGAATATTACTTTAAGTCTACTTACTTGATAAAGGTAAATAAATTATAAATAGGTCAATTTATTGTTGTTTTTTATTTAATATTCGCAGTGAATTGACGATGTAAACAAAACGCCCGTTGCGCGAACTGCCACGTGATTATATGCTTTCTCTTTTTTTCGATTGGTCAGACTGTTGACTATTTCTTTTCCATTATTTAAATAAGCAGCATTGACAATGATAATTAATCTTTAATTACGTATACTTTTATTCAGAAAACAGAATAAAATTACTATATGAACTTGAAAATATTTTATCTAAATGTTTTTCACAAATTTATTGCTAAATATTTCAAACTCCCGCTTAAAATGTGATTATTTAAGTTTTGAACGTTGGTGGACGTGTTGTACACAAAAACTTTGTAATTATCAACACAGTTGTTTGTGATTTTACTGTTTATTACATTTTTATTCTACAAAATTATGGAATTTTAAAAGAGAAACAAATATTAAAATATTGAAAAGGTATTTTTTTTAGTGTTACCTTTAAAAAAACATGTACAAACAGGAGGATCTTTGTAGAGTTTTGAGAATAAATGACTCAAACACGTGCATTGAAAAATATGCATTTTCATTTTTCTTTTCGTACGCAAACATTTGTCAAATTTGTTTTTCACATGAGCGTGACACACGATTAAAACGATGTACACGATGTAAAATGGTTTTTTATTGCGGAAAAGAACATCAAAAGGAACACTGGCCAATTCATAAAGAATTTTGTCATGTCGCAACGAAATTATTGCAAAAATTTGGTGGATCAAATCTATTTGAAAGAATGAAAACCGATCAACAAACACGAATCGATTGGAAAAATTGTCTTGTTGATTTCTTTGAAAGTGAATTGAAACGCAAACTTATTCCCTATGAGAAGTCGTTAATTTTTTTTCCAAAACTTTGCGCCATTTGTTATGAAAGTGATCCAAAGTGTTTAATGTTTTGTTATAATTGTCCACACGCATGTTTTTGTAAAAAACATTATCAAAATGAGTCACACCAGTCACACTATGATGATTGTCAATTATTTTCCCAAGGATTATTATTAAATGCTATGGGAATTACTTTTAAAGCTGCGCCGATTCCAGGTAATTTTTTTTACTTTGGGGTCATTCATATACCACGTGGACATTTTTTTGTGAGAAATTAATATTTTTGGTAAAATATGAAAACTTATAGTTATAAAAAAGGTTTTTATTTTATGATGGTAAATAAATTAATATTTAATAAAAAATATATTTACGATATTTTAAAATAAATTGGTTTATACTATATAAATATCTAATTCTTCAAAATTGTTTTCATCTTTTCAAATTCATTTGTTTACCATTCAATTTTACAAAATTTCATTTATTCCTAAATTCTTCAATTAAATATAGGGGAGGATGGGGCAAGGATAGTTAGGTAAGACCTTTTCGGATCTAGCGGCCAAACTTGATTATGTATCTGCAAATGAAAAGTATTTTTGGAAAGCCTGGTTATTTGGCTATAATTTTGCTGTACATTATTTTACTGTAGACTCAAATCCCTACGAGATACGAATGAAAAAGTAAACAAAAATTTTTAACTATCCTTGCCCCAGTACCGGGGCAAGGATAGTTAAAAGAATTCGAATGCCAAAAATGTTATAGAAAATCAGTAAATTTTTGTTTTTTTTATTTTACTGGATTTAGACTATTCAATATTGATATCCCAAGTATTAAAAATATGTATGGGACATTTTCTGAATTGCAATTATTATATTAAAATTCATCTGAACTAGAATCAGAAGTTTAAACAATTTTTTTCAGACGACCACCAATTTCTTGGTCATAAGCTTCGTTTTCCGTATATAATTACGCACCATTATGTATATCAACCTAAAAAGAACAATTAAACACTTTTTTAAAATTTTCAATGGTATTAACACGCTTTTACCGTGCCGTATTATCTCTAACTATCCTTGCCCCATGAGTCCATATTTCAGTTTTTTCTAAATTTTAAGGAACGACGTGAATTAATTTGAAAATAAATACGATATTCGTGTTTAGCAGGAAATTCCACTCCGGAAAACATTTTACGTAAAAAATATTCTGAAATTCTAATGTAGAAAACAATATGATAAACATTACGTTGACATTTTAGCAAAACAGACTTTTTTCAAAAATAATCTCCCAACTTCGCAAATGGTGACAGATTGACTTGCAATTTTTACAATCATCTTTTGGTGTTAAAACGCGAATATACTATGAATTACGCGATTTTTGAGCAAGCCGTCTAAGCATAACAGCAACTAACTATCCTTACCCCATCCTCCCCTATATTAGAAATTAAAAACTCGAAATAATTTCAAAAAAAAAATAGTTAAAAATATATGAAAAATTCAAATTTTTAAAGATTTTGATTTGAAATCTTTTCGAAATTCAATTATTTCTAAAAATTCATGCTATAAAGCTTTTAATATTCAATTATTAAAATTTTAACTGAAGTTCATTTTTAAATCAATTTTTATTAGAAAATTCTACGAGAATTTAATTATTTAAATACAAAAATTAATAACTTTTTGAATAATTGAATCTTTCTTTAAATTGAATTCTCATAAAGAATTTTATCAACAAATTTTTAAATAATTGGATTCTTTTGACAAATTTTAATAAAATTTCAAAGAATAATTACATTTTTTGTGGAATTCGATTAAAATTGTATTAAAAATAATTGAATCTTTGTAAAAAAGTTTATTATTTATGAAAATAATGAAATTATTGCGAAGAAATTTATAAAAAATTTGTAAATAATTGAATTCTGCGTGAATTTTTATTATTATTATTATTATTTTGCCGAGAATGTTATCAAATTTTTTTTTAAATAATTGAATTGATACCAAGAATTTCATTAAAATTTTTAAAAATAATTGAATTCTTGCAACGAATTTTATTAACATTTTCAAACATAATTGAATTCTTACGAAGAAGTTTCATTTTTTTTAAATTAATAATTAAATTCTAGCGAAGAGTTTTATAAAAATCATTTTAAAAAATAATGGATTTGTTTCGAAAAATTTTATGAAAATTATGTTTGAAAATAATTAAATTCCTGTGAAAATTTTATTATTTATGAAAATAATTGAATTCCTAAAAAGAATTTTATTATTTACGAAAATAATTAAATACCTTTAAAAATTTTATATTTTTTATGAAAATAATGAAATTAATGCGAAGAAAATTATAAAAAATTTGTAAATAATTTAATTGTTGAGAAATTTTTATTATTTTATGAAAATAATTACATGTTTGCGTAGAATTTTATCAAATTTTTTTTTGAATAATTGAATTCTTTTGCAAAAATTTTATTAAGATAGATATTGAAAATCATTTAATTGATGAAAATTTTTCATAATAATTGGATTTTTGCCAAGAATTTTATTAAAATTTTTGGAAATAATTGAATTTCGGAGAAGAATTTTATTATTTATAAATATAATTTAAATTTTGATGAGAATTTTACAAAATTTTTGAACATAATTAAATTTCTGCGAACTTTCTTGCTTTTTCAATCAAATTATGGACTTTACGGACTTGAAGCAAATTTACGGACCTAGTTCGAACCCTGTAATTGCAACTGTAACTGTCCTTTTATTAAAGTTATTACTTATGGTATACATAATATTTTCAAAAAAATTATAATTAAGAAATTCTTAAAAATAATTTTTTAAAAATATTTTAAAATAATCTTTGAATGATAATAATAAAATAATAAGAATAATGTTAAAAATAATTCTCAAAAATTTTTATGTTATTATTTATTGCATGAGTTTGAATTTTCGGAAATGTATATATGTAATAGAAAATATTGAAAATAATTGAATTTTCAAAAATTAGAATTAATTCAATTATTTTCAAAATTTCCAATTAAAATTGTTCAAAAGTTGATTTTCAAAAATATTAATAAAATTTTTAAAAAATAAATTATTTTCAATTATATTTTACAAAATTTTAATTATTCTAACATTTTTTAATTATACGTATATTTTTAAAATTTAATTATAAATGGTTAAAAAATTATTTAAAAATATAATTTAAAAGATAGCACTTTATACTAAAAATGTGGTGTTTTGTTGTAATATTTTTGAGAACGGGCGAAAGAATCACAATTTTTTGAAAATAAGTCGAAACATTTGCATTTTTTGAAAATAGTCGAATAGGTCATAGTACCTATCTGAGGTCTGGTACTTTTAAAAATAATTTTTTTGATAAAAAATCTTTTTAAAATTATTTAAAACGATGGTACAAAATTTGAAAAAAGGATAAACAAAATATAAGGGGTTTTTTACTGGGTCCACGTAAACATTTGCTTTGATCCCCCCTCTCCTCAAAACTGTCCACGTGGTATATGAACGACCCCTTTCGAAAATTCATTATTTTTGTTTTTTAATTATTATTTAAATTTCCAGGTGTCATTAAAAGTGTTGAGTACAATATGAAAAAAGCTCGTCTTCCAAATGATATGCAAGATTTTCTCGACTATCACTGCAGATGTAAAAAATCAATTTTAAAAGATTTTAAACGAAATGAAGTTCAAATGTACATGTCGGAACATTTAACGAGACCTTTAACTGTACTTTATGCATTGCAAAAAATTCGTTATTCAAACGAAGAAACAATGATAATTCACGTGATTGGAGCTAATAATTACGAAGAAGTGAGCCAATCGTCCTGGGAAGTTTTATTTCACTGGCTGCCGGATTTAGTCACCTTGAGAATTATCCTAATTGGACCGGAATGCTCGAAAGTAAATTATGAAACAAGTTTACCACTTTGTAAAAGTTGTACTAAAAATTCGCGAAAATTATTTCTCGAATCGTATCCATTGCTCTATAAAGATTATTGGAAGAGTGAAAAATTCACAAAACCAAATATCGTCGTTTCTTTCAATGCAAGTCTCAAAGTCTATAATACTTGGATTGAATCATTAAAACTACTGACAAAAGTGGATTGTCCCTTTATCTTAACGACTTACAGTGTACCTGAAATTGATACGGATCACGAAATAATGTTGGAAGTCTTTGGTCACCCAGCACGTTATACATTTCGTCTAAAGAATCCATTTGCCAGTTTGAGGCCCTATCGTGATGTTGTTAATACTAATGTATTTTTTCGAAATACGGGAGTAATGATCTACACAAAATTGGGACAAAAAGTCATTCAAACAAATTTAACTGGATTATTTTTAACTAGTGAGAAGACTGAAAATCATCAAAAATTTGTCGAAAGAGATGATAACCTCGCTGTACGTAAGTCTTTTATCAAAAAAAATATATTCTTAAATTAATGTATTTTATGGGAATTTGTTTTTTTCAGTCAGAAGTATGGTGAAGCATTTACAATTCAAAAAACTCGAGAAGACTGAAGAAGAACAATGTATAGAATTTTTTTATCACACAATACTTCTCGTTCTGGTATTTTTTATCTTTCTGTTTTTTTGGCATGTCTATAGAACGTTATTGATATTTAGAAGTATTTAAAAAAATAAGTGTTTAAAAAACATCCGTTTTAATTTTAAATGTTTTTAAAAGTTTTAATATTGCAAAATGTTTATTGGAAAAAATATTAAAAATACGTTAATAAATGTTTAATAATTTAGCACGTCTACAAAATAAAGGTGCATAAATATTTTTTATATTCAAATAAAAGACAAATATAATTTGATATCAAATATGATTCAGTTTATTAATTTATAGATTTCATTTTTGCGATATTTATTTTTCTTGAAAAAATTTAATTGTAAGAAAAATATTTAATTCTTAACGTAATGTTTTCAAGATTAAATAATAACAAAAATTAATTAATCAAAATTGATTTTAATCAAAAATCATAATTTAATTTATTATTCATAAAAATAGAAGTTACTTATAAGTTATTGTATAGAAAAACTAATTTTTATTAATGCAAAATGACGTTTTTTTCTTATAATTATTTTCTACAAAAGTGGATTTTATCTATTTTAATGTAATTTTCTATGTATAGAATTAACAAATTAATTTTTATAAATTTCGTATTTACTTTTGTTCTAATTATTTCAAATTTTTACTTTACAAATCCTTACAAATTTAAAGAACATGTTTTGTGATAATGTTTTTGCAAAAAAAGGTAGAAATTAATTTATTTTCCATGTGAATTTTTTTCCTATTTTAAAAGATAACACATTTTTGATAACTTTTATACTAATTTTTATATTTCTTTTCATTAACTAATTTATTACCTAATATTATACATTATTTTCAAAAACTTTAATAAAAATGTTTCAAAACAAATCAAGTATATTTTCTAATAATTTTTATAAATATTCATTTATTTTCAATAGAATTTTAACTTAATTATTTTTAATAATTTTAATAATATTCTTATCATTAATTCCATTATTTTTATAAATATTAACATTCCTCAGATTAATTCGATTATTTTGAATACAATTTTCATAAAATTCTTTGCATGATTTCAAGGACTTTAAAATTTTTTTTATTTATTTACTTATAAGAAAAAATATCAAAATTACAAAAAGCAACATAAAAATTAGTATAAAAAGTTACCAAAAATGTTCTATTTTAAAATAGAAAAAAATTCACATATTGTCGCAAAATTATGAAAGATAAATTAATTTCAAATTTTTTTTTTGCAAAAATCCTTATTAATAAAATCAGATGTCTGTCTGTACATTGCTTAAAACTTCAAAATGTTAACATGATTAGTTATTATGGACATCAGAGATTCCAAAAATGTTCTTAAAAAATTTAATGTATGTATGTATGCATGTATGTATGTATGTATGTATGTTTGTCTGTCACAAAAACTTTGTACCCCAATCACACAAAAACATGTGAATCGATTTAAGTCCAACTTGGTAGGTTATTAGGTATTGACCCAAGGAAGGTTTATAAATTTACAGATTTAAAAAATATTAATTAGAACGGGAGATATTCAATTTTTTCAAAAAATTCAAAAAATCGAAAATTTCAAAATTTTTTATTTTTCATGGATTGCTTTTGAAGTTTATATACTTGAGTATTATATGTTATTTAGTCACATTATAGCATAACTTTGCAAAAAATAAAGTCCTATAACTAATATGTAAGTATAAAAATGTTTTCAAAAAATCGAAAATTTCAAAATTTTACATTTTTTTATGGATTGCTTTTAAACTTTCTATATTTGAGTATTACATGTTATTTGGTCACATTTTAGCATAATTTTTCAAAAAATACTATTCTACAACTAAGATGTAAATATAAAAATATTTTCAAAAACTTGAAAAATGGAAAATTTCCAAATTTCACAATTTTTAATGGATAGCTTTTAAACTTTCTAAAAATGAATATTATATGTTATTTAGTCAGATTTTATCATAATTTTGCAAAAAATACTATCCTACAAGAAATATAAAAAAATTTTCAATATATCAAAAAATCGATACTAATTACTATATGAAGTATAATTCAGTAGTATTTTTGGAGTCTCTGATTAATATTTTGATGTCAAAATAGTGCAATTCAAAATTATTTATCAAATCAATCTAATATTTTCAAGAAGTTCAGAAATATTGAAAATGGAAATTTTTTATGATTAAAATGATTTCGCAGGATGTCAAGAATTGTAAGTCACCTGTGATACAATACAAGCATATTATGCCACTAGGCAAAAACTTACATGTTAAAACGTTTTTTCATTTTAACTCTAGATTTAACTTTAAGAGATGTTTTGAGCAATGTAAAGACAAAAGTTAACACGGTGTCTATTTTTGTTTAACAAAATTCCCTGCTTTGTCCAAACTTTTCACGGTTTATCTCTTTTTTGTCAAATTTAAATTTACTTGATTTTATCCATAAATAAATCTACAAATGGCTATAAAAATTTACTTATTTTATGAAAATACTGTTTCTTAAGTTCATATAAATATAGATTGTATTACTTGCTGTCGTACAGTTTTCTGTTTATACTAATACATTTAACTGGGTATCTACCAAACGGGAAAAACTGTAAAAAGCTGGGAATATGCCGAACCGGGAATTTTCCTATCAAATTAAGAAAAAGTTTCATTATATTAATTCGCTTTTAAAAAATTGCTTTTTACTTCAATTTTTATTGATGTATAATATTTATGAAAACAGACCCGAGTCAAAATTTAAGCCCTACTTTCAGCCTAAAATTTAGGTCTTATGTTAGGTTTTAGCAGTCGTAACGTAGGGTCTACTTGCGATACAATTAGTTCCAATTAGACTCTACTATAACTCCAAAAACTGTATGGAAAATTTAATTTTTTTAATACATTAATTAAAGTACTACAAATTGATAAATATTGTTCTCTGCATTTGAATTGGTTAAAATAACTAATTTGATAACAAAAAGTCAATCACTGATTCAAATAGTAATATTTTCCTACTAAAATAGCTATAATGGTAACTAATTATTATTTTTTTCCGGTCAAATTAAATTCCCTAGCTATTTCCTGATTTTCCAGATTGGTAGAAACTTAAATGTATTGGTAGAAACTAAAACCCGTCGAAGACGGGTACGACAGCTAGTTTTACTATAAAACTTATTCTCTAAATTAAAATTTGTAAAGATTTGAAATAATTAGAACAAAAGTGATATGAAATTTAAAAAAATTTATACCTATTAATTTGTTAATTCTACATTTAAGAAATTACATTAAAACAAATAAAATCTACCTAGTTTTTTTAGAAATTAATATTATTAAAAACAACGTATTTTGCATTAAAAAATTAGTTTTTCCACAATAACTTATTAGTTTTGAAGAATTTTATTAAGGGGAGGCAACACCGATATTTTTAACTACATCAAGAAAATAATTTAAATATTCCACAAACTTAATTTAAAGTAATTTTTTGTAAGCAGTTCAATAGTCATTTTTTTTAAATCTTTATTTTTCGGCTGAAAATGCTAAAAAATATCATTGTTACTCAATTTTTTCAAATGGAAATTCATTTATTTATTTTTCTAACTAATTTCAGATCAAATTTTTTATTTACAAAAAATTTAGAATAAAATAATTATGATCTGAAATTAGTTAGAAAAAATAAATAAATGAATTTCGTAACAATGGCATTTTTTAGCATTTTCAGCCGAAAAACAATCCACCAATTTTTAAGAAATTTACAAATTCAAAAAGAGTCAAAATATTTTCTGACCATTGAATTTCTAACAAAAAATTACTTCAAAAATAATTTTTTGGAATATTTAAATTATTTTCTTGATATTATTAAAAGTAATGGTGTACTTTCTCCCTAAAGTTTTTGAAAATAATGTATAATATTCGTTAATTAGTTAATATATGAATTTTTTTAAATTGTGAATCTGAAATTATTCAAAAATTAAAGTTGATATTTGAAAATAAAATTTTTTGTAATTTATACATATTAATAATAAATTAAATACTGCGGTTCGCGTTTTATTTTGAAACTATCTGTATGTTTGATTTCAAAGAAAGTGTTTTCGAATAATAGTTATCGATTGAATACAAATACAAATAATTAATTTTAGAGGTCATAGGAATGATGAAGTGAAAATTTCTCTGATAAGAAGAGAATAAAATAAATTTAGTTACTCTCAGTTAGTACTTTTGCGTGAATTTGACATTTTCTCCTCATATATCTGTAAAAATGTTGTCTTTCGGTGATATGAGGACATCATTGGGTCTAGCGGAGGAGGCTGTAACTGATGAAACGATCCATAAGGAATTTTGCAATAATTTCTTCTACGCAAATGTCTGTCAATATTGCATTCAATTGAGTAAAGATAAAATAGTGAAAAGATGCTCAAATTGTGACAGTGTATTTTATTGTTCACGTGAACATCAATTGGCACATCGCGATGATCACAAGGTGTTTTGTAATGCTCTAAAATTCATCAAAACCAATTTAAATAAAGATGACATTTTTCAAAATATGCCAATGAATGATACGTCATTTAAAAATTATCTAATCGATTTGGCGGAGATGCAATTGAACAGAACTTTGAAAAATTGTGAAAAACAGGTATTTCTCTATCCACGTGTTTGCATAATTTGTAACGAGAGTAATCCAAGATTGGTGAAATCATGTAAAAATTGTCCTCACGCTAATTTTTGTATAAAACATTTTAACGATCTTAATCATCAGAGGGAATGTCGATTCTTTACATTTTGCTTTTACTTGGACCATTTTTCAATGCTATTCAAATCAATACAATTTAGTGATTTTATTAGCGTTTTCCCAAGGAACACTAAATATACACCGCTGCCAGTAAATATGGGAATGTTTCTTCTCGAGTACGTGAAACCATATCACAGTGACTTATATTTCGATGCCACTGAAGTTCAAATGCATCTTTCGTCAATTTTCTACAGACCAGTGACTGTCATTTACGCCTTACAGCGATTAAATCTCACACGATGTTCACAATTACAAATTCACTTGATATGCAAAAAGCGTATGGACGAAATTAATCACAATGAATGGGAAATTTTATTCCACTGGTTTCCAAAATTAAAATCATTAAAAATTGTTCTAATCGGCTGTCAAGGATTGCCCAGAAATGTTCCAACGAAATTGTGTGATCTTTGCAAAGGAATTAAAAGAACATTAAAAGTTGAAGCACACTACATGTTATACAAAGATTACTACAATGAAACGCTCAATGTTCCGGATATTATTGTTGCCTTCGACATTGATTATATGACATTTAGCACATGGATGGAGTCGACGAATATAATAACGCAAATGAATACACCCATTGTTTTGACGGCAATAACGCAAGCGGATTTATTAGCTGGTCTCCAAGATTGTGTCAAGAATCCTAATAAATTTTCACAAATTATCATCAACCCTTTTGGTAATTTGAGACCACAGAGAGGAAGTCGAAGTGTTGTGTATCCAAGTTATTATATCAGTATTTATGGTGATGATTCGCCTAAAATTGCCGATGCCTTATTAAACGATGACAATTTCGATGAGGGAACTGCTGATCAGAATACTAAATCAAAGGGAGAATTAGTTGCCGAATTAAAAATGAAAAATTCACAACTCACGCAAAAATTTGAGATCTTCTCGTCGGAAATACAGAAATTAAAATATCGCAATGATCAATTGCTAAATTTTCTTAGTGAGGTGCAAGAATTGAACAATAAATTTTTCAATCTAGAAGACAGATTTTATGAGGTAATTAAAAATTATTTATTTTATTATTATTTTTATTTCAGAAATTGATTATTTACTGTTATAATTATAACAAACCTCAGATTGTGAGACTTTTTGGACTTTTATCGATTGTTTTCAAAAAATGAGACTTTTTTTACATAATGCAAGAAAATACAACATTTTTGCTATAAAATGCAAATTATTTCAATTTTCATAGTGTGAAAAATTTCCCTAACAATTTACTGACATTAAAATTATTTCCCCTGACAAAATTGAATTTTTAAAAAATATAAATAAAAATAATCAAATTTTTGAAGAATTTTAATTATAAATATGACCATGATTTCTCCGAAATTTAAATGTGTAAGTCTAAAAAAGTAAATTTTTATTTACTTTGTTTGAAGATAATTGAATCTTTATAATAATGATAAAATAATTCTAAGAATTAGTTTTTAAAAATAGTTTAATGCAATTTTTCGAATATAATTGAATTTCTTAAAAGAATTTTTGTATAATTTGAGAAAACTAATTAATTTTTTGATGAATTTTAATTAAAAATTTTTATCAGGGCTTTTTCTCCAAAATGTTAAAAATAATTCTAAAATATTATTTTTTGTATGTATTTGAATTTTTGGAAATATGTAACTGAAAATACTGAAAATATTGCATTTTAAAAAATTTGATGCTAATTTTCAATCATTTTTAAGTTTACATTCAAAGATTTTTCATTAAAATTTTTAATAATTCCATTATATTGAAAACTTGTAATTAAAATTCTTCAAAAGTAGATTTTCAAAAATAATTGTAACGAAATACTTGAAAAAAATTAATTATTTTCAATTAAATTTTACAAAATTTCAATTATTCAAAAAGAATTTCATTATATGTAGATATATTTGAAAAATTTAATTATCTTAAAAAATGATTCAAAAATAATTTTTTGAAAGATTTGTTTATAGTTATTTTTTGCACGTTATAAAAAAAGAAATTAAGTTGCATTTTAAATTAAAGAATGTGGTATTTTGTTGCAATATTTGGAAGAAAAGTCGAAAAAAGGTAGCAATTTTTTTAAATAAATCGAAAAAAGTCTCAATTTTCTTAATTTCTCTGACAAAAATTTTTTTTTCCTTTTATTTCCCTAACTTTACTGACAAAAATTTTAATTTCCTGACAATTATTTTTTATGTTCTTTAAAAATACTCTAAACATTATTAAATAATCCTTGAATTTTTTTTCATCTTAAAAACTTTTTAAAAAACCATTAAATAGTTGCAGTTTGAAATTTTTTAAAAAATTGAATTTTTGTATTACATATTTAAATAATTGAATTTTCGAATAATGTTAAACTAAATAAAAAAAATCGATTATTGAAGAATTTTAGTTAAAAATTCTAGAAAATAATTGAATATTTGAAGAATTATAGTAAACAATAATTTTAGAAATAACTAAATTTTAAAAGGTTTCAAATTCAATTTTTTGAAAATTGCATTTTGGAGTAACTTTAATTAAAAATTCTAAAGAAAATGTTAACAAATGTAAAAAATTATTCGGAGTAATTGAATTATTGAAAAACTTAAAATTGAAATTATTATTAAATTATTGCAATAAGAGAAAAAGTTACAATTTTTTCTAGAAATCAGGGAAATAGAAAATCAAATTTTTTTTGACAATTTTGAATAGAGAAAATGACTTTTTCTACTTTGAATCGACTAAACCGACATTTTTTGCTGCTTAAAATCGATTCGAGGCTTGTTATAATAAAAATATTGAGTTATAAAATACTGATAATTATATTTTTTATTATAAGTTTCACTTTCTTTTTCAGATTTTCGATACTGACTGAAGAGATGAACTAAGAAGTTGACAGCGTACTTAATTATTATTTTTTTGTAAATATTTAATATCTGACGGAGCTGAATTTCAATAATTTTTAAATATAATTGAATATTGTACAAAATAGAAATTTTTTAATACAATTTTTTGTATCGCTTACTAAATTTGAAACGTTTTTGAAACGTAAATGTGGCATTTTTATTGTACATATATTTTGTAATTTTTTAGAGACTAATTTTGTAAATGTATTAAACGTACACTACTTTATAATTGCAAAATTTTATTATTAAAAAAAAGTACAAATGACAGTTTATAGTGTTGTTATTCAAATTCTAATATTTTTAAAACAAAAATATTATTCCTAGAAATTATTAAGAGTTAGTCTAAAATTTAGTGGAAAATTTTGAAGTTATCCTTTATCTCATTATTCAATCTTTTCGTTAAATTTATTTAAAAATTACATTAAATTAATTTTTATATTAAAGTTAATAAAAATTCGGACTTGTTGAACATTTTTTGAATTAATTATTTTAAGCGAATTTCACAAATTTAGAATCAAATAAAAAAAACTAAAAAGTAGTTCAAAAATATTTATTAATCATTGGTGATTTGGTGATTACGATTTGGTTAATAAACTTACTAATAATAACAATTTCCGTTCATGGAATTTATTTTTTGAAAATAATTTAAAAATTAGTAAGTTTACAAAATACGTAGAACGAATGTTTTAGAAACTATGCGCTTAATTTACAAAACATAAAAAAATAAAGATTCTTGTGTACAATATAGATACTTTTCTTTGTCAAATATGAAAATAAAAAAATTTATAGTACAATGGAAAATACTTTCAATACTATGGTATGTACTCTATTTTTTTTATAAATACGATATCTTAATTTAATAATTAAAGGCACTTACAAATAGTTTCATCACTGAATAATGGAATAACAATTTCTCTTTTGTCTTTGTTAATCCTTTTAAGTTTTAAATAGGTTTTTAAAACTTTTTCATCACTTTCGTCAGAACCTGTAAAAGTACATTTATAACATATATTTTTGTAAATTATTATTATTATTAATTATTATTATTAACTAGGTATATTAATCTTCGTATTCTTTTATTCATTCTGTCCGCAGTTTGAAGTCAGTTTTTGTGTATGCTTTTGTTTTTTCTTTCTTTAAAAAATATTGTTTGACAAATCGAAAATATGCAGGTATTTTTTCATGATTTATAATAAAATAATATTACAAATTAGAAAATTAAAAAAAAATATGATTAACAAATAAAAAATATACCCATTTTGTTTGTGATATGCTTTTTTTTTAAACAAATTCGTTTAACTGATCTAAATTATTATGGAAATTATTTTCCTTTTTATTTATAAAAAATACCAGAAAATTGTTAATTGTTAACAAATTTTGATTAAGAAGTAGGAAATATACCAATTTCATGCATAATTTTTATTTCTCAATAACAATATTGTTTACAAACTCATTTTTCTCTTTTGGGAAGAAAAACATTAGATATTTCCGTTACTTAATATTTTTGTAGAAAATTCTCAATTCTCATAAGAAAATAATTTGCATCAATTCTATTTCTTAATTTCAATTGTTTTAATAAAATTCAAAGTTTTTTAAAAATGTATAGGAAAAAAATGTTTATAAATTATATTTGTCAATTAGAAAATCTCATTGAAAATGAAACTGAACATTTTTGAAATTTTAGAAAATATGTAAAGGAAAAAATTTTGTTGAAAAAAATGTTCTGTTAAATTTATTTACAAATATCTTTAATTGTAAAAATTGTTGAAAAATGTAACTATTCTACAAATTTTTATTAAAATTCGTCAAAAGAATTCAATTATTTAAAAATTTGTTCATAAAATTCTTTAAAAGAATTAATAATTTAAATCAAATTCCTTGAAAAATGTAAATTTTCTAAAAACTTTTATTAAAATTCGTCAATAAAAAATTTAAATATTTGAATTCCTGTGAAATTTTTATTATCTATAAAAATAATTAAATATTTGCGTACAACTTCATTAAAATTTAAAATTGTTTTTAAATAATTGAATTCTTTTGGGTAATTTTATTCCTGAAAATAATAGATATTGAAAGTAATAATTGAAATTTTGTGGAGATTTTTTTGTAAATTTGGAATATAATTGAATTTTATGATAAGAATTTCATCACTTTTGAAAATAATTGAATTTCAGCAATTATTTGTAACTTCTTCAAAATTCAATTTTTTTTTAGTGTTTTTAACTAATATTCTTCTATAAATCTATTATTTTTAATAATTAATTAAATATATATTGACAAATTTAACTAATTTTAGAAGATTTTGAATTATGAAAATAAAATTTTTCACAACTTTAGAGTTCATTAAAATTTCCAATTAAATTCATTCAACATTAAATTTTTAAAAAATTTCAAATTCAAATCGTTTGAAGTTCATTTATTTATGAAAATTGTAAACGCAACTCTCTTAAAATTGAATTAAGTTTGAAATATTTAAGTAAAATTATTCATTAAATAATTTATTTATTTTATGATAGTTGTTCAAGATTTAAGTTATTTAAAAAGAAATTTTTGTCAGAAATTGAAAAAATACTAGGTTTTGTATTAGAATTTGTGGTAATTTTATTGTTTATGAGTCAAACAAAAGACACAAGAAATCAGAATTTATGAATTCTAAAAATTTAATTTTTTTCAGTACTTTTAATAAAAATTCTTGACGTTTTCCTGAATTTCCGATGTCAGAATATATTATGATTGTTATAATTATAATAATATTAAAACTATATATTCTAATAATTCATATTTTATTTTTATAAACAAAAAAATTTGAATTACAAATTTTTACGTTCTATTATTTTTAAAATTGCTAATTTTATTTGAAAAAGTGAGAGAGAAGTCAGCGAGAATTATTGCTAGTTTAATTTTAATTTTTGAATTTAAGAAGTTAATTTAAATTTAAATTTAATTTAAATTAAAACTTGAAAATTTTAATATTAAATTAAAAAATTTTCAATTACATATATTTTATTTAAATAATCAAATAATAGAAAAAAGAATTAATGAAAAGTAAAATTAACTTACAATTCCTTTATTTGATATCGTAAATGGTTAGATATTCGCTGCGTGCAAATATTTGTTCGTCATCACTGTTCCTCTCGCATTTATAGCTCGCAAATGGATTAGGTCCAAAATAGAAATACTTCACTTCAGGTACAATCCTTTTAATCATTTTATGATCCTGATCGGCTTCTATTTCCGTGAAGGACGTCTGTATAAAAGGACAACGAAGTCTCACTACCAATTCAATAGCTTGATACCAAGTTGGATAGGCATGAAGTCCAGCATTGTAGGCGACTAGAAAATTCGGTGTTACATAGTTGGACGATTTCATAAAACTTTGATAAAATTCCGTACTAATCTGAAGATTCATATGTGCCTTTCTTTTAATACAAGATGAGCACAAATTTCCCTTTGGAATTTCACAATTGGCACTGATTTCAGGACCAATGAATGTGATATTTAAATTAATCACTTCCGGTAGCCAGTGCAGTATTAATTCCCAAATTGGTTTTCTTATCTCGTCATCGGTTGCACCCATCAAGTGAATCGTTAAATTCGAAGAGCTGGAAAATTGCAATTTTTCCAAAGCATACAAAATTGTTAACGGAGGACAAAGTGAATCGGCTAAATAAATTTCCCAAATATTTTTCGACATTATTGTCTCATGCTTGGAAGTTCGTTTTACTTTGATACACGATTCGTTTGTCAAGAAATTCTCCATTGAATTCGGAAGGCGTGTACCACTCTTCTGTGAATGCAATACAAGTGTTTTAAATTGTTTCACTTCCATTAGAAAATAGGCAATCAGTTGTGGATCCGAAACATTCATCTCACAAGCACGTTTAAATAGATGACAAATTTTTAAATGCGCTGGATCGTTTTTGTGCTTCTTACAAAAACTGACTTGTGGACAATTTAAACAACTTGTCAACAATGATTGATCGTTTTCATAGCATACTGAACAAATTCTCGGATACATAATCATTTCCATTTCGTAGAGGAAGGGCGGTCTCTTCAATTTATTAACTAATTGTCCAAATATTATTTTCTTCTGCATTACACGTTGTCTTAATAATTGAAATTTCATATCATTTGAAGCATTCACTGGATCACATAATTCCTTTAGACTACTAAACATTTCTGGTCCACCTTTTTCTTTGAGAATTTTACAAAAATCTTTATGCATTTTCCAATCTTTTAATTGATGGTCTCTTCCACAGTAAGTCATTAATTGACAACTGGAACATCTCTTTAGTGGATTTTCTTTATTGTCAAGACGATGACAAACGTGACATTTATTTGGATAAAAACATTTTAAAAAACTATTTTGTTCACCACCAAATGCCTGGGTTTGTATTTGATTCATAAAATCACTTGGTTTGAAATTAAACATTTTCCTTTTTTTGTTAAACTGTAAAAGAAGATCGTAACTCAATTATTATAAAGAAAAACTTTATTAATGTAAAAATTTAATAAACTTAAAATAAAATGAATAAAATTATCAGAAGACTTACTTTGTGCAACAGGTAAAAACTCGATATAAAACACAACACGTGCAAAACAGCTGATCACATTTGTCAGTGTTACCAAACTCGGCGCGGGAGATTTTTGTACTAAATTCGAAATGCGCAATAAAGATATGACAAAAAAGAAAAAAGTAATAAGAAAATTAATTACTTTTACGTCACACTTTTATCAAATTAATATTCTTTTTCTATTAATATTTCAATATAATTATATTCCCAAGGAAATAGAAAACACTTTTCAATTAATTGTAATTTTTGTCCTCACGTTGTCAGTCCTGAATAAACCGGTACAATTGTCCCTCTATAAATTTCATAAATTTTAAAAAGAACTAAATAAGTAAACAAATCGATCTTCAAAGAGAATTCCTATAATAATAAACAATTAAATTGTTAACAAATTAAACAATAAGTGTTTCAAAAAATTTATTCAAATATGAACTGGTGTCCGGGAATTAGTTTCCTATTCAAAATGTGCGATTCAACGACAAGTGATGATGACAATAAATTAAGAACTGACTTTTCACGACATTTCTTTTATCCAAATATTTGTCATGTTTGCAATTGTCATGACAGTGAAGTGAAACTTAAAAAATGTGGCAATTGTAAAATGATTTATTATTGCAGTCAGGAACATCAAAAAATTCACTGGCCAGTGCATAAAACATTTTGTAAGCACATCACTGATTTGAAACGTATTTCGAATGAGAAAAATATTGAAACAAAAATGAATTTAATTCTCTCGCTTGAAGCAATTATGAAAAGAAAATTGGAATCATACGAGAATGAAATGATTGAATATCAAAAATTTTGTGATTTTTGCTTTGAAAATAATGATAATTTATTGAAAACTTGTCCACGATGTCCACACGCAAATTTTTGTGAAAAACATGAAAATAATAAAGAGCATGAAGAATTTTGTTCACTCTATACAATGTGTTTTCTTCAAGATTATTATGCAATTGTTTTTCAAGAAATGCCAATTCCAAGAATGATGGAATTCACGCCACGCGATGGGAAAATTGAAGATTTACCGAATTCGATGAAAAATTATATGGATATTTATTTTAAATCGCATGAAGAATCGAAATTTTATTTTCCACCTGAGGACGTGAAAATTTATGTTTCACAACATTTTACAAGACCGTTGACTTTAATTTCTGCCATGAGAGAAATTCAATTTCTCGATAAATTCTATTTGAGTAAATTGATAATTCATGTTTTGGGAGCTAGTAAACGTGAAGAAAAATCGTTTGTTGAGTGGGAAATTTTATTCCATTGGTTACCTCGACACATAAGGGAAATTAAAGTTGTTCTTGTTGGACCAGAACTCACAACCGATGATTCTTTTTCTCAAGGTAAATTTAAAAAGAAATTTGCTTCAAGTCCGTAAAAGTATGTCGGTGAAATTACAACGTTTATTATCCACGATTGCAAGAAATAAAAATATTTTTCTTGACGAAAGCACTAAAATAATTGTTTGTTTATAAATTTTTCTATTTCAAATTATTGATGAAAAATTTTACAACAGTGCTTTTGTGCAAAAATATGTAAAATTTTTAATAAAAAATATTGTTTCTTCTAAATCGTTGATTATAAACGTTGTGAACTTCACCAACGTGTAAAAGTCATTTTTTTGAAAAATTGTCAGTAATTTGATTAAAAAAGGACGAAAAGTTCGTAAATTGTTCGATATAATTTGAAGAATTTTAGAGAAATTACAAATGATTGCAGAAAAATTCAATTATTTGCATAAGTAATAAAATTCTTCGCAGAAATTCAATTGTGTTCAAAAATTTTTAAAAATTCTAGTCAAAATTTCAATTATTTTTATAAATAATAAAATTCTTCTCTGAAATTCAATTATTTTCTAAAATTTTAATAAAATTCTACGCAAACATTCAATTATTTACCAATTTTTTTATAAATTTCTTCGCAATAATTCAATTATTTTCATAAATAATAAAATTTTTACAAGAATTCAATTATTTTCGTGAATAATAAAATTCTTGTGTATAGGAATTCAATTAAGTTTACTAACAATAAAACTCATAGCAGAATTTCAATTATTTTTCATACAATTTTAATTGAATTCCTTGAAAAAAGTAATTATTTTCATGAAAGTTTTAATAAAATTCGACAAAAGAATTCAATTATTTAAAAATTTGGTGATAAAATTCTTTATGAGAATTCAATTTTGAAAAATATTTAATTATTCAATAAATTATTTACTTTTGTATTTAAATAATGAAAATTTCGTAGAATTGAATTAAAAATGAATTTTAGTTAAAATTTTAGATTATAATTAAATATTAAAAGCATTATAACGTGGATTTTTAGAAATAATTGAATTTTGAAAAGGTTTCAAATTAAAATCATTGAAATTCTGAATTTTTTATATTTTTAACAAACAATTCGGTAGAATTAAACCTTTGAAAAAGTTTAATTGAATTTTTTTGAAAATTATTTCAAATTTTTATTTTCTAATAGATAATTAATTGAAGAATTTCCGAATAATTGAAATTTTGTAAAATTGAATTGTAAACAAATGAATTTGAAAATTCTCAAAGAACTTTTTAAAAAATTATTTAAAAGAATGGATTTATAGAAGAATTTTAGTTAAAAACACTAGAAAAAATTTAATTTTGGAGAAGTTACAAATTATTGCAGAAATGCAATTATTTACAAGAGTAATAAAGTTCTTCTTAAGGATTCCATTATTTTTACTAATAATAAAACTCATTGCAGAAATTCAATAATTATTTTCAAGTGTAATAATATTATGTATTCGCAAAAATTAAATGTTGTTGAAAAATAATAAAATTCTTTTTAGGAATTGAATTATTTTCATAAATAATGAAATTCATTGCAGAATTTGAATTATTTTTAATACAATTTTAATCGAATTCTTCGAAAAATCTAATTATTCTTATAAATTTTATTAAAATTCGTCAAATGAATTCAATTATTACAAAATTTATTGATAAAATACTTTATGAGAATTCAGTTTTGAGAAACATACAATTTTATTCAATAAATTATTATTTTTGTATTTAAATAATTGAATTATAGTAGAATTTTCTATTAAAAATTGATTTCAGTTAAAATTTTAGATTATAATTGAATATTAAAAACCATAGTGAGTGATTTTTTAGTAATAATTTAATTTTTGAAATGGTTTTAAATTAAAATTTTTGAAACTCATAATTTTTCAGATTTTTAACTAACAATATTCTGTGAAATTAATTTTTTTGAGAAAGTTTAATTGCGTATTTTTTTGAAATTATATGAACTTTTTGTTGTCTAATATATATTTAATAATTGAAAAATTTACGAATAATTGAAATTTTGAAAAATTTACAAATTATCGCAGAAATTCAATTATTTTCAAGAGTATTAATATTCTTCGCAAAAATTATATATATTTTCAAAAATAATAAAATTCTTCTTAGAGATTCCATTATTTAATTACAAATAATAAAACGCATGGCAGAATTTCAATTATTTTTAATACATTTTTAATCCAATTTCTCGAAAAATGTAATTATTCTTAAAATTTTTAATAAAATTCGTCGAAAGAATTCAATTATTTAAAAATTTTATTAAAATTCTTTTTGAGAATTGAATTTTAAGAAACATTCAATTATTTAATAAATTATTTAGTTTTGTATTTAAATATAATTGAATTCTAGTAGAATTTTCTAATAAAAATTGATTTAACAATGAATTTTAGTTAAAATTTTATATAATAATTGAATATTAATTAAAATATGAAGAAATCAATGACTCCGAGTCGAAGACTCGAAGTTATTGATATCTTTATGTTTTATAGTTATGAAAAAATTCAATTCATAGTTTAAAGTAAAATTTTTTCTTATTTGATTCGGACTGGTTATATTTTTGTCAGTAATTGGTCTGTGAATGGTCCGTAATTTTTATTTTTGGTCCGTAATACGTCCGTACTTTTAAATAATTTCACTGCTTCGAGCCCTGATTTTATCATTTACGTTTAATTGTTTTAGGAAAAGAATTGGAACTTTGCGCTGATTGTTCCTCCAAAGGCAAATCTATGAAAATCCAGATCGAGAATATTCTTTATTCAACTTATTGTGAGGAGGAAAATTTTGAAAAACCTGATATTTGTGTTGGTTTTAATCTTGGAATAATTGCCTATGATTCATGGGAAGAATCAATAATGGAAGTTTTAAAGTTCATGTGTCCTTTCGTTTTAACGGCATTTTCGGAACGTGATGCAAAGGACGATCAAGGAGTGATGCAAAAAAAATTCAATGTCAGTGCGAAAATAGTTAAAAATCCATTTGCAAGTTTACGACCAAAAAGAAGTGTAATTGGAGAGAAAATATTCTATGAAAATCAGTTCTTAATGATTTTTGATGATTTTGATGGTAGTTATTTCCTTAGTGGCAAAATACAGGAAATAGAAATTAAAAATTCAGAGAGCGGAAATTCCAGTAAGGAAATTCATGAGAAGGAAGAAGCAAAAGAAAAAAACGAGAAATTCTCTGAACACTAAATCTCTTCAGAGTTTTAAAAAAGAACTTATTTAAATTAAGAATTTGTTATTGAAAATATTTATGACATTTAAAAAAATGTCGCAAAACTATATTTAGAAGAGAATTTTGTTATTGCATTTTGACTTTATTTGATATTACAAATGTAAATGTGTTTTGTGATACAAATTGTCAATTTCATAGAAAACTGTTTTATATTTTTTTACTTTATGAAAGTAAAACCGATTTACGTTTTTTTCGCCCAGAATGTAATTCTTTTTTCGTTTAATGTAAGAAGACTACTTTTTTATTCTTATTCTTTATTGGAAAATATTTTGTTCCCAAAAATTCTTTTTTCGTTTAATATAAGAAAATCTACTTTTTTGTTCTTATTCTTTATTGGGAAATATTTTGTTCCTAAAAATATTCACTTAAAAAATGTAAAGTATTCTTTGTTTCATTGTATATGTAATTAAGAATACATTAAAATAAAAATATATAATTTGAAAAATCCTCACATACTGAAAATATTATAATTTCTTTAAATAATTTATTTTTATTATATCCACTAATTTTTAATTCATACATTTATTAACAAGTTAAAAATAATTATTTACACAAGAGAATAATTTAAATTATTTATCGGATAGGTATTAAATTCTAATACGAAAATCATATAATGTTTTCATAAAAAAATTTACCAAAAGAGTTGAATAATTTAAAAAAATTGTTTATACAATTCACAAACATTTAATTATTTTCATAAATAAAAAAATTTTCACAGGAATTAAGAACACAATTTTCTTAAAATTTTTCATAAAAAAGAAATTATTTAAATAGATTTTTATAAAATTCTTCACTAGAATTCAATTATTTTTATAAATATTAAAACTCATCGCAGAATTTCAATTATTTTTAATTCAATTTTAAATGAATCCCTCGAAAAATGCAAACAAATCTTTAAAATTTTAATAAAATTCTTCGAAAGAATTCAATTATTTCAAAAAATTTTAATGAAATTTGTTATAATAATTCAATTGTTTTCATAATATAATATTTTTTGAAAGAATTCAAATATTTTCATAAATAATACAATTTTCAAAGAAATTCAATAAATTATTTAAAAAACAATTTTCATAAATTTTTTTGAAAAAAGTTAATTCTTTAAAAAGATTTTTTTAAAATTCTTTTCAAAAATGCAATTACTTTAAGAACTTTATTAAAATTCCTGTCAAAAATTCAATTATTATCATAAATAATAAAATAACTCATCGCAGGATTTCAATTATTTTTTAATATATAATTTAAAATTATTTCCGCTAAAAATGCAATTATTCTTAAAAAATATTAATAAAATTCTTCACAAAAATTCAATCATTTTCGTAAATAAAAAAATTTTCACAGGTATTCAATTATTTAAATCACAAATTTCCTAAAATTTTTCGAAAAAAACCAATTATTTAAATAGATTTTTATAAAATTCTTCACAAGAATTCAATTATTTTTTTTAAATTTTAATAATAATCGTTGCAAGAATTCAATTATTTTCATAAATACTAAAACTCATCAGGATTTCAATTATCTTTAACTAAAAATGAAACTATTCTTGAAAATATTTAATAAAATTCTTCGAAAAAATGTGATGTAATTTGTTTCTTAGAGTGTAATAATTATTTTCAATTCATTTTTAATTAATAATTACGTTTCCTGGATGAATTTATAATTATTATCAAAAATTTTATAATGTAATTCTTTGTAAAAATTCAATTATTTTAATTATTTTGATAAAGTTCTTTATAAGAATTGATTTAGAATTGAATAAAATAAAATGATTAATGTTTTGAATAATTTTATTTATAAATTTCAACAAAAAAAATGATTGAATTTTGAATAATTATAAAAAATAATACACTACCTACACGCGCTATACACAATAAAATAAAGTTGGTCACTCTGATTATCGCGGTTGGTACACCTGCTCATTTTCACTCGCTGCTAATTTCATTCTATTTTTATATTGCTTCTTCAAAAACATTATACAAAAACCACGTTTTTTCTGTGCAAATGTGATTAAAATTAAAACAATATGTACGAAAGTGATTATTTACGAGACATTTTTCTCTCACTAGGAGAAGATTTTGAGGAAAGTCCAAACGTTTTTTTTTCACAAAAGTACTTTTACGCGAATCTTTGTCCGGTTTGTTTTAATCACAATCGTGAGAGATGCTTGAAGATTTGTTCTGGTTGTAAAATGATTTCATATTGTGGTAAAAAACATCAAATAGAAGATTGGAAGAGACATAAGGAATTTTGTAAAATTATTTCTCATCAATTGAAAATAACGAAAGCTTCAAATATTTTCGATGCCGTGAATTATGCCGATGACAGTTCAGATGATGATACTGGATATAAATCACTTGTGGAAAAAAAATATAGTGTTCTTTTTTTTGTTTTGGATAAAATTCAACGTGTATTGTACCCTAGGGAACTTGGAATGATTTTATTTCCAAAATATTGTGAAACATGTGAAATAACTGATCCGAATCTACTAACAAGTTGTTCAAAGTGTCCGCATGCAAATTTTTGCATTAATCATAAAATGGATTCTAATCATCAGAAAGTTTGTCATCTCTATACACTTTGCTGTTTGACTGATGCTTTTCATGTTATGAATAAATACATTGAAAAACTTGACGATTATCTTCAATTTAAAATATTCAATGGGAATTTTGATAATTTTCCAAAATCACTCAAGAAATTCGTTAATTCACATTGTTTATTTACAACTTCCGATGATTTCAAGGGAGATTTGATTCTTAAGAATATTTTTTCCGAGCACTTGACATGTTCAATGACAATCGCTTATGCATTGAAAAAATTAAAATGTCCACTGAATTCAGAAATCGAGATTCATCTGATTTTCAAATATTTAGACAGCATCAGCGATCTCTATTTAGAATTAATTTTACACTGGTTGCCGCATATTGTGAGTTTGAAAATTGTATTCTTTGTTCCTGAAATGAATATCGACGAAATATTCTATCCAATTTGTCAAATATGCATTCAAAATAAAAAGAAATTAACCGTGGAATTTTGTGGATTAAAGTACAGGGATTATTTAAAAACTGATCGTTTCATTAAACCGGCCATTGTCGTTGGTTTTGAATTTGATGACGAATTTTTGAGAGACATTACAGATGTTATTCCAATTTTAAAAAATATGAATTGTCCCTTTTTTACAACAGCGTTGTGTGAATCCGATGGCATTGAAAATTTAAAAGTAATGCGACAATTTAGTGAAATCAACAATTTATGTCTTGAGAGAAATCCTTTTTCAAGTTTGAAATTTTATCGTTTAAGTCACGAATCAAAAGGAATTTCCGCAACGAATATGTTTATAATTTACGAGAAAGTGAATGAGAAGAAAATTGAGGACCTTTCAGTTTCAATTAAACCACAATTTTCAATTCAAGTAATTGATTCTGATAAAATAATCAATGGGAATTTATTTCACAAGAAGAAAATTGATGAATTCGTTTTGAGAATTAATAAAATAAGGAAAATTTTACCACGTCAAGAATTCAGAAGCAATTGTCGTCAAGAAAATGAGAAAAAAATTGTGAATTTCAGCAATATTGCTTATAACATTAGAAGGTATCATTGATGTAATGTTTTTTCATCTGATAGTTTATTGAATTTATTTCTTTAATAAGAAATTTACAATAAATGTATAAAAGTTCGAAAAATTAAAAATTTTATGTTAAACATAATATATAAGTTTTTGGTTAAAATATATTTAATTCGCTATTCAACTATTTATTCTTCAAAAATCCTTAACCTAAAAGCAAATATAAAAATTACAATTTAAAGTTTAAAGAATTCATTTATTGAGTACGTAATATTAAATATTCTTGTTTATTATTCAAAAATATTAATCAAATTTTTCGCTAAAACTATATTTTTCGTATAAATAATAATATTTTTTAGAGCAATTCAATTATTTTCAATGCAATTTTAAATAAAATTAATCGAAAAAATACAATTATTTTTAAAAATATTAATAAAATTCGATTATTTACAAAAATATTATTTTATTTTCAAGAATATAATTTTAATATACAAATTCAATTATTTTCGACAATTTTGATGAAATTCTTTTAAAAAAATCATTCCTTTCAAAATTTTTAATAAAATATCTTAAAAAGATTCAACTAAATTCAAAAATTCAGATAAAATTCTTTGAAACAATTCAATTATTTTTATGAATTGTAAAATCCTCCGCAAGAATTCAATTATTTTCACAAATAATAAACTGTTTCGGAGGAATTCAATTACTTTCAATACAATTTTAATAAAATTTCACGAAAGAAAACAATTATTTTTAAAAATATTATTTAAATTCAATTATTTTCAAGAGTTTTAATAAAAATTCAATTATTTTCAATAATTCGGATACAATTTTTCGAAACAAATTCAATTATTTTTATGAATTATAAAATTCTTCTCAAGAATTTAATTAAATTTTCATAAATAATAATAAAATTCTTCAAAGGAATTCGCAATTATTTTCATAAATAATAATATATCTCGGAGGAGTTCAATATTATTTTCAAAACAATTTTAATAAAATTTCTCGAAAGAATACAATTATTTTTAAGAATATTATTTAAATTCAATTATTTTCAAGAGTCTTAATAAAACTTCAATTTTATTATTTCCAACAATTCTGATAAAATTCTTCGAAACAATTCAATTATATTTATAAATTATAAAATTCTCCTCAAGAATTCAATTATTGTTGTAAATAATAAAATTCTTGTGAGAAATGTAATTATTATCAATACAATGTTAATAACATTTCTAGGAGAAAATTCAATTATATTCAAGATAATTTTAATAAAATTTCAGTAACAGGTTCAATTATTTTTAAAAATTGTAATAAAATTTTTCTATACAATTCAATTGTTCTCAAAAGTTTTCAATGAAATTCTTTGTTAATTTCAATTATTTTTCAAATTTTTAATTAAAATTATTTTAAAAAATTACAATATTTTTACAAAATTTAATGGAATTCTATCTGATTTAATAAAATTAATTAAATTTTGTTAAGAATTCTTTAGAAACAATTCGCAATTATTTTTATGAATTGTTAAATCGTCCTCAAGAATTCAATTATTTTCATAAAGAAGAAAATTCTTCAAAGGAATTCAATCATTTTCATAAATAAGAAAATTCTTCAAGGGAATTCAATTATTTTCATAAATAATAATATATTTCGGAGGAATTCAATATTATTTTCAAGATAATTTTAATAAAATTTCTCTAACAGGTTCAATTATTTTTAAAAATGTTAATAAAATTTTTCTATTATTTTCAAAATTTTCAGTAAAAATTATTTTAAAAAAATTTCATTATTTTCAAGAAAATTGAAATAAATTTTTCAATACAATTCGATTATTTTAATATAAGAATTTTAATAAAAATCTTACCAAGAATTAAGTTATTTTCAATACAATTTTAATTACATTTTCTGAAAAGAATTCAATTATTAAAAAAATTTTGATAAAATTCTTGAAGTGAATTCAATTATTTTCAAATTTTTTGATAAATACTTTGCAAGAATTCAATGATTTTCCGTACATTAATTTTAAAATTGAAAACAATTAAAAAGAAAAATTATTTAAAAAGTTAAGAAACCAATTGGTCACTCTGGTAGGTTGGCAATCCTGATCAATCTGCCATCTTCATTCCATTCTATATTCATTGTAAACAATGTTGAATGTTCTTTCTTCTCCCGGACGCCGATTTTAATTCACAGTTGTTTTTATATGTAAAAAATAGTTTGAAAAAATGTATAAAGGTAAAGATATTCGGAATATCTTACGCACTTTAGATGAAGATGCTTATGAAACATCGAAAAAGGAATTTTCCGATTTAAATTTTTACGCGAACATTTGCCACGTGTGTTTTAATCATAATCGAGAGTCGCAAACAAAACTTTGCACTGGTTGCAATTTGGTTTCATATTGTTGCAAACAACATCAATTAGAAGACTGGCCGACACATAAAGAATTCTGTAAAATTATTTCCAATGAATTAAAAATTAGCGGAACATCAACCATCTTTGACGCCGTCATTAAAGTTGAAAGCAGTTCCGATGGATTAATAACACTGGGAGAAAGAAGAAAACGTGTCCTACGATTTGTTATGGAAAAAATGAAAAATAATTTTCTACCTTCTCAGACAGAAATGATTTTATTTTCCAAACATTGTGAAGTTTGTGGATTAATCGATCCAAGTGAATTGATATCGTGTGTCAATTGTCCGCATGCAAATTTTTGCCACCAACACAACAATGATTCTGAACATCAGAAAAATTGTTTTTTCTATTCATTGTGTTCTTTTATGGATGCTTGGCAAGTGATGTTGAGACAAAGTAAAACAGAAGAACACAATGTCGTTACTATGTTCGATGGTAATGTAGATCCATTCCCAGAAAAAATGTCTAAATTTGTTGATTTATACTGTTCGTTTAAATTTCCTGGCCCAAAGTCAATATTCTATCAAAAGTTTTACTATTCTGATTACTTGGCAAATGCAATGACGCTGTGTTACATTTTGAAAAAATTCAATTTATCAATGAATTCTCAACTTGAAATTCATCTAATCGTTGAAAATACGGAAGAAATTTGCAGAAATCACTATTGGGAATTAATTTTGCATTGGTTGCCACATGTTGGCTATTTAAAACTTATCTTCTTTCTTCCTGAAGTAAGTTTTGTTGAATATCCTTTAAGAATCTGCGAAAAGTGCAATGAAAGTGGAAAGAAAGTAATTTTGGAATATTGCCCATTAATGTATGGTGTTTACGAAGAGTGGAACAAACCTGATATTGTGGTTGGTTTTAATCTTGACAATAAGTTTTTAAACGATATTGCCGATGCTTTTACAATTCTGAAAAATGTCAAATGTCCATTTGTTATAACGACATTAAATTCTACTGAAGGTGGGAAAAATTTAAGAATGTTGAACGATTTATTCCAAGTAGATAACTTTCATCTTGAAAAAAATCCTTTTTCAAGTGTAAAATATTGTAGACTATTCAATGAATTACAAGGAGTTGCTGCCGGTAATATGTACATAATTTATCAAGTTGATGAAGAAAAAGTTGAAGAATTTCAAGTTCCTGAATGTGTGATTGATATCGTCGATTATGAGAAATTAATTCAACAAAATATGAATTTAAAAAAGAAGGCTATAATCATTTTGGAAAAGAAGAAAACAATGGAGCGTATTTTGCGAGAATTTAGAAAAGATTGCCAACAAGAAATTAAACGTCTGTGGACAGATTTCCGGAGGATTGAAAATAAACTCAAAGAGGTATAAATAACTTTTCTTTTATTCTTTTTTTATGAAAATGATGAAGACTTTTATCAATTTATTCCTTTTTACATTTGCACATTTACATTAAAATTTTAATATTGTATTTAATTAATTGAATTCTCATAGAACTTTTTGATAAGAATTCAAAAGAGAATTTCAGTAAAAATTTTAGAAAATAATTTACTATTACAAGAGTTGTAGTAACAATTTTTTGGAATAATTAAAACTTTTAAAAGGTTTCAAATTAAAATCTTTGAAAATTTGAATTTTGAGAAAATTTAATTTAAAAATTCTAAAGAACTTAGTTTTTAGAAAAATTTTAGTTGACATTATTTTGAAATTAGTTGAATTTTTAAATATATATTATTCAATAAAAAAACTTTCAAACAAACGAAATTTTTTCAAAAAAAAAAAAATAATTACTTTAAAATATTATAAAAAATCAAACTTTTTAAAACGTATTATTATTAAAATTAAAAAAAGCAATCATTTTCAAAATTGTTTATTAAAATTCTTAAAAAAATTGCCTTGAATTGAGTTTTGTTAAGTGCCCAAAAATTCTTTTAAATTATTTTCGAAAAATTGCATTACAATAGTTTTAAAAAACTAATTCAATAGAATTTTTTATCACAATTTTTTAAAAATCCAATTATCCTAAAAAAAAGTAAATTACAATTTATAAGAAATCTTGACTGTTTTTTAATATTTTTGAAAAATTCTTTTAGAAAATCCAATTACAAAAATTTTAATAAATTTTATTTTTGTGGAAATTTTTCAAAATCATAATTAAAGAATCTATTGTCTTTCAAAAATTATTGAAAAATATTCTTCAAAATCTAAGATAGGTATAGTTTTAAGAAGTTTTTAAAAAGAAAACAAAAAAGTTACAGTTGCAATTTTTTATAAGAAATTAAATTTTTGTATTAAAATTATTAAATTCTAAAAGAATTTCCTGATAATTATTAAAAATAATTTTGAGAATTTTTGTAAAAAAAATATTTAATATTCAATTAATTTCTATATAGTAGTTAAATTTTCTAAAATAAATAAATATCAAAAGATTTTTGAATTAAAATCTTTGAAAATGTTAATTTGTGGTAAATCTGAAAAAACATTTAAATAATTATTTTTGAAAGTTATGAATTTACTATTTTTCCAAAAAATGATTTAAGTTTTGAATGATTTTATTTTAAAATTCTAAAAAATTATTATTGAAAGAATTTTTTCTTTTCACTTTTAAAAATAATTTATAAATATATCTTAATCGTATTTTTGAAGAATCCTAACTCGTTTAACTGAAAATTTTGAAAATAATTGAATTTTACAAAAAATTTCATATTGGAGTCATTTCCAGGATAAAAAAGTTTTTGTGATAATTCTGAATAAAACGAGATTTTTAGTCTTCAAATGCAATTTTTCGATAGCTATTTTTTTACTAATGCTTCTCAGTCTTTTTGATAGTTTTTTTAAAATTAATTAACAAGTAATATTTGTTTTGTTGATTATTTTTAAAAATTTATTCGTAAATTTCAATGGAATTGTAATATTAAATGATAATTTGGTAACTTATTTATTTTTCTCAAATATTGTCGAGAATATTTTTCCCACCTCTACCAAATTATTTTTCTATACCATTAATTTTGAATGTAAACAAAGCTTCTGTTTAATTTTTCTCCGTCCCTTCTGCTGCGTACAAAACAGGTATTTTGCAATTTTGATAAGAAATTTTCATTTTCAATAATTATTATTATTTTCTATCAATTTTTGTGTCCAAGTGTAAAAATTTAGAGAATGAATTACTAAAAGTTGGAAATTTTTGAAAATATGCAGTAAAAATTGTGAATTAAAAGTGGAAATAATTTTTTTCCAGATTAATGTCTATTTCGATGAATAGAATGAAGGACATACACCTAATTCTTGGAATGTGGGGAGCGGAAATTAAAACCGAATTATTGAAATATATTCGTCAAGATTGTTTTTATCCGAACGTTTGTGCCTTTTGTTTCAAGCAACACGAGGAAACTGATGTTAAATTATGGATCACTTGTGAATCGTGTAAAATAGTTTCCTATTGTTCGGAAAATCATATGCTAAAACACAAAAATGTTCATCAGGATTTTGATCGTATTTTACTGGAAGTTTTGTCAATGTCACCGACTAAAGTGAATTATTTCTATGAATTGATGAATATTGTCAATGCACCAACACAGAGGCCGCTTATTTTAATGAGTTTCATTGACGAAATGTCAGAGAAATTAATGGATTCAAGAGGACTTTACAGAGCCGAGGAGGAGATGCTGAAATTTTTACCACATTGCGAGGCGTGCACCGAAGTGAATCCAGAAAAAATGGTCAAATGTCACGAGTGTTTAGCAAATTTCTGTTCAAATCATCACAACGATTTAGAAGCAACAACCCGACACGCGGAATTTTGTTCCGATTATTTACAATCTTTCATAATGGAAGCTTACAATCTTGCATTTGATGATGTTGACATATTGGCACTAATTATCCAATCTACTGGCATTCAGAAAGAGAAATCACTTTTTCCAAATTCAATATATGAATTTCTCGAAACACAAATTGATTTCTATCGTCTTTTCGAAACACTCGAGCATCCTGATCATTATCAAATATCTTCAGACTTTAAATTAGAGGAGAATATTTCCGATTTGAGAGCCTTTGTCTCTGTTTATCTAACTAAACCACTTTCATTAATTTATGCGATTAAAAAATTGGAAATCATTCCACCGGAAGAGACAATAATTCATGTTATTGGCTCAACAGCGGATGAAATAAAAAATTTAAATCAATGGGAATTTCTTCTTCAATGGTTTCCGGATTTGAAGAAATTAACAATTGTCTTTGTCGGTAAAGAATTGTCAATTCATTCAAATATTTCCGATACATCATTAAATGACGATTATTTAGAAAATTCTGATGAAAATAATATTGAGGAAACATCAATCACGTACGCATCACAAGGGAATCAATTACATTTTCAATTTTCATCGAGTCTTTATAAAACATACTATGAGAATTCAAATAATTTTCAAGAACCAAATTTTGTTATTGCCTATAATCCTGGTTTGACGGTGTATAGTGAATGGAATGAGTCACTTTTAGTTTTGAAAAATTTCCAATGTCCATTTATTTTTACATCTTACTATAAGGAGGATGCACTATTGGACCATGATAAGATGAAAAAAGTTATTGGCGAAGAACTCAACTATCATTTGTTTACAAATAATCCCTACAAAAGTTTGCGACCACTTCGTTTTTATGGAAATTCTTATCCTTTAGTGTATAAGAATAATTTCATTACAATTTATAAAAGTTGCAATCCAGAAGAATAGTGGAAATTTGAAGAAGGATCTTTCGACTTATATCAATAAGTTTCGTAATATACGAGAAAATATATGTAATTTTGAAAAATAATTTCCATACGACAGAGAAATTATTGATATGAAAATATATCACTTCTTAATGTTTTATTTCATTAACATGTTAATTCACGATCGTTTTATTTTATTATGATTATCTTCAATTTGTAATGTTTATTTTATCTCTAAAAAATATTCTCTATTTTCTAATAAAAATGAATGTATTTCATTAATTATGTCTGTTGTTATTTAAAAAACTACCGCAGACGCATTAGAAAATTTTATTTTTGAATTTAAATTAAAAATGTTAATTGAAAATTTTAGTCTTATAATTGCGTTCTTGTGCCAATTACACAAATTTGAAAAAAACGCCATGAAGTGTTTTGCGTGAATTACGGATCGTTAATTTACGTAATCAACTGTAAAGTATCAAATATATTTTATAGGTTATGTGAATTGTTTTGATTTGAGCTGTGCATACCGCACGAATAAAAAATTGTTAATTTATTATCAGATTATCAAAAATATGTTTTAAATCTATATTTGTTGTGAAATTATTTTATTTTTTCTAGTTTATTAGAATTTTATCGAAAGTTTTAATTAATTTTAATCATTTTAATGGTAATATATTTTCACGTATGTTTTCAATCTCCATAATTGTCACCCCTTGTTTTACATTATTGAAATAGATCTACCAATTTAAGATAATTTAACAATGATTCCCTTTGTTAATTCAGTTGCACTTAGACCCCGGATAGATAACATATCATAAATGTCTAAATTTTCTGTTATGAAACAAAAATACAGTTCTATCATTTATTTCGATATCTTGTATTAAAAACTCGTGATTTGTCTAATTTTTGTTTTGCTTAGGTATTATCGAATTCGTATTATTATTAATTAAAAATTATTTTTTACAGCAATACACGTCACAGTTTATGTATAATTAAACCGTTAATATACAGAGAATAATGTCACAATCAAAAATAATAATTATTGGTGCTGGAGCATCTGGAATAGCAGCAGCTTGTCGATTGATTGAAAAAGGATTTCAAAATGTAACAATTCTTGAAGCTAAAAATCGCATTGGAGGTAGAATTCATACTGTTAATTTTGGTAAGCTGTTGTTTATTATAATATCTTTTATATTAATGATCGTTTGTATTCCTTTAATTAGTTCGAAGTTTAAAGTTAGTTGTTTGATTTTTTGTCCCCTAACTTTTTTAAAATAATTTTTCCTTTTAAATGTTTTGAAATTTAAGATAAATGCGTTGAAAATTATATTGAATTCTTGCAAAGAATTTTATTAAAAAATTTTAAAATAATTGAATCTCTTTCAAAAATTTTATCAAAATTTTTAAGAATGATGGAGTTTCTTTAATAATTTTAATTAAAAATTTTAAAAGCAATTTAGTTATACGAAGTATTTCTTTCAAGTTTTTAAAATAATCGTGTTTGTTAATAATAATAATTAAAAATTTGATTATTAAATTTATTTCATTAAATTTTTTGGAAATAATTGAATTCTTTCCAGAATATTATTACAATTTTTGTAATTAAACTTTGAATTCTTTCAAGATATTTTATAAAAATTTTTGAGAATAAGTAAGTTAATTTTTTAGAAAAATTTTATTACAAGCTCCTAAAATAATTTAATTTTTGAGAAGAATTTTATTATTTATAAAGATAATGAAATACTTGTAAAGAATTTTACTATTTATAAAAAGAATTGAATTGTTTCGAAGAATTTTATTAAAATTTTAGAAAATAATTGATTTCCTACGAAGAATTTTACTATTTATAAAAATAATTAAATTCTTGATAAGAATTTTATTGTTGTTTTCTAAAGTTATTGCGTTTCTTCTTTAAATCTAATGCAAAACCTTCAAATTTTTCTATTTCTGGCAATAATTTCTTTTCAAATAACTAAAAAACTTGAATTTTGTAGAAGTTATAAATTATTGCAGAAATTTAATTGTTTTCAAAAGTAACAAAATTCTTCTCCGAAGTCCAATTATTTTGAAAAATTTTAATAAAATTCTTGGCAACATTTCAATTATTTAAATAAAATTTTAATAAAATTTTGCGGAAACATTTAATTATTTTCATAAATAATAAAAATTTCCCAGGAATTCAATTATTTACAAATGTTTTATAAATTTCTACGCAATGATTTCATTATTTTCATAAATAATAAACTTTTTTTTACAGAGATTTAATTATTTTCATAAATAATAAAATTCATTGTAAAATTTCAATTATTTTTAATACAATTTCAATCAAATTCCACGATAAACGTAATTACTCTTAAAAATTTTATTAAAATTCGACAAAAGAATTCAATTATTTCAAAATTTGTTTATAAAATTCTTTACGAGAATTCAATTTTAAGAAATATTCAATTATTCAATAATTATTTTTTTTTCTATCTATTTAAATAATTGAATTCTTTCCAGAATTTTCTAATAGACATTGATTTAAAAATTAATTTCAGTTAAAATTTTAGATTATGTTCAAAATTAAAAAAAAAATTCTCTTCAAAATTTCAATTATGTATCTTTATAAATAATAAAACTCTTCTTTGAAATTTAATTATTTCCAAAAATTTTAATAAAATTCTTGACAAATTTTTAATTATTTTCAAGAATTTTCCAAAAGAATTCAATTATTTAAAATTTTTGATAAAATTCTACAAGAACATTTAATTACTTTCATAAATAATAAAATTTTTACAGAAATTCAATTATTTACAAATTTTTTATATAAATTTCTTCGCAATAATTTAACTATTTTCATAAATAATAAAACTCATTGTAGAATTTCAATTATTTTTAATAAAATTTCAATCGAATTCCACGAAAAATGTAATTTTATTCTTGAACGTTTTCTTAAAATTCGTCGAAAGAATTCAATTATTTGAAAATTTGTTGATAAAATTCTTTATGAGAATTCAATTTTAAGAAATATTCAATTATTTAATAATTATTTATTTTTCTATCTATTTAAATAATTGAATTCTCGTAGAATTTTCTAATAACAATTAATTTAAAAATGAATTTCAGTTAAAATTTTAGATAATAATTGAATATTAAAAGTATTATAGTGTGAATTTATTGAAATAATTAAATTTTAAAAAGGTTTCAGATTAAAATCGTTGAAAATTTGAATCTTTTAAAATTTTTACTAATAATTCTGTAGAATTAATGTTTTTGAAAAAGTTTTTGAATTTTTTGAATTGAAATGATGAAAATAATTTTGAAGAAGTTACAGCAACAATATTATAATTATAAAATAATGATTTTATCACTGGATCAGCTTTTATTATTTATAAAACATGAAGAAATGGATTACTCCGAGTCTTCGACTCGGAGTGGTTCATTTCTTCATGTTTTTTAATATTCTTTCAAGTTGTTGAATTTCAAAAGGTTTGTATTAGAATTTTTTGAAAATTTAAATTTCTACGGAAAAATAATACCTAACTTCTAAATATTTATTTAAAAATAAAGTTATTGATTTTTTCCAATAATTTTACAATTTAAGATATTTGTAATTAAATATAATACAACATTGCAGTATCACATGAAAGTTCCATGTATTTATAAAAATTTATTAGAGTTATTTAATTTGGTAAAAAATAAATGTAGTTATAAAAACCTGAAATAATTCCTTTTTTTAACCTGGAAAAGTCAGGGAATTTCAAATGAGGAAAAAAGTGTCAACCCTGAATAATTAATTAATAATAATTAATAACATATTCATTATTACGTAAAAGAAATTATTTTCATTCTATATACTAACAAGTAATTAAATAATTTTTCAGCTGATAATGTTATTGACTTGGGCGCACAATGGGTACATGGTGAGAATGTTGTATTTAATCTAGCAAATCCCCATAATTTATTGGATTCCAATTTCGATGGTGATTATGAAAAGAATTTATTTGCTGACGGACGAGGAAATTTAATATCCTCTGAAGAATGTGCAAATGCATTGGCAATCTACGTGAAATTAAGCGAATGGGATGAAAATGATCTCAAGGAATGGAATGGTTCTTATGGAGAATTTTTTCAAGAAAAGTGAGTAAACAATTTCACACTAATTATTAATTATTAATAATAAAAAACTTAATTTCTTATAAAATTCAATTATAATTTACAAAAGTTTAAAACGAAAAACGACAAGTACATTCGATATTGTTTTGTTTAAAATTTTTTTAGAAGAATTCGTTCAGCAAAAGTTTTTAAATCACTTTCCTTGAACCATGCTTGTAAAGTAGGATGTAAATGAAATTTGTTTATATTTTGCGTTTCACTCTCTGGAAGAATGCATCTAAAAAGAAATATCATTTTATTTTTTATTAAATTTATACAAATATTAATTTGACTTCTAATAGCATACCTGACTCTACTATTGCAGCAATCTTGATTTATATATTCGTATCTCAACAACGAATACACATATTTTAAATATTTCGTATCCAGAGTACTATTTTCTTCATTATATAAATTAGTCGGACTGCTTATTTGCTGAACGTAATCTTTCGTTAAAATTGGAATAATATAATTTACCTGAAAAAAATTAAAAATTTGAATTCATAGAATTTATTGCATTTATTTAATAGAGGGTAATTAAATATCGGTAAGAAATTTTTTCTTTTGCTTAAATAAATGACAAGACCTGTTTGAAGCAGTCGTCAACGAATTCTACTCCCCTACTATAAACATATTTCTCTTGCTCCTTAAGAAGTATGACTCCAATTTTTGGTTCCATTGATCTAAACTGTTTTGTAATATCAATCGCTGTTTGTTCTCCATTTTTGGCGAAAGTTAACATCACAATGCTTCCGTAACTTGTTTTAATCTAAAAAACGAAACGTAAAAAAAAGTATAATTTAGTTACAATTTTTTAAATAGAAAACAATTTTTAATGTAACTGAAAACTAACGTTTCTTGTTCTCTTAAAATCCTGTGTTCTATGTACAGTACTTGAAGATTTATTTCCAATTTCATTTGGACTCAAGGTAATTTTTAACATTGGACTTAAAACTAAAGGTGCTCTTGGTATCACTTTTGGTCGTATAATTTCTAAATTGTGATCTAAAAAATTTTTTAATTTATTTTTTATATTTACAGGCCTTCGATAGTATGACTTTTTGGACTTTTTCATCTATTTTCCAAAAAGGCGACTTTTTTAAAAATAAAATAGACTTTTTATATTGTGAAAAATAATTATATAGTCAAATCTTTCAAAAATAATTTTTGAATCATTTTTTAACGATATTAAATTATCGAAATATTTAATTAAAAAGTTTTCAAGTAATTGAAATTTTATAAAACTTTATAAAAAATGATTTTTTTAAGTATTTCTTTAAGTACCTATTTCATTAAAATTTTTGAAAATAAAATTTTGAAGAATTTTATTTACAAATTTTGAAAATAATTTAATTTCTGAAAAGTTTTATAGAAAAATTTTCAAATGGAAATTTTAAACGAAAATTAGGTACAAAAAATTATAATAAAATATTTTTTAAAAAAAGTAAATCTTAGAATTTTTACATTATAATTTTCTGAAACGGTTTTATAATTTTTTAGAATTATTATTAAAACTTTTTAAAGAAATCAATTATTTCTAACATTTTAAATTAAAATTCTTCACAAAATTGATTATTTTTCAAAATTGACCAAAAATTCTTGAATTGGATTACTTTGAAAAAATTACATAACAATATTTTTGGAAAACTACTTTTTAGAATTTTTTTAAATTCAATTATCTTCCATAAAAGTACATAAAAATTTCCAAATAATCCCTTTTTTAAAAATATTTTCAGAAAATTATTTTCAAAAATTTCTACTAAATTTCAGTCATTTAGAGGATTTCCAATTATAATTTATAAAATCTATTATCTTTCAAAAATTACTTGAAAATATTTTATAAAACTATAATTATAAGAATTTCTTTATAATAACTTTTAAAAATTCAATTGTTTTCAATATTGTTAGTTATATATATAATTTTAATAGTTAACTTTAAATAATAATTTAAAATAAAACTTTATGAAAAGTTACAGTTACTATTATTATAAAAAATTAACTTTTTGGATTTATATAATTGAATTCTGAAAAAACTTTCGGAAAATTAAATAAAAATAATAAATAATTGATTTAAAAAAAATCTTTAATTAAAAATTCTAGACAATAATTAAATTTCGGAAAAATTACAGTTGTAGTTTTTCGAAATAATTAAATTTCAAGTTTGAAATTAAATCTTTTTAAACTGAATTCCTATATTTCCTCTGAAAAATTAAATAACAAGTATTTTGATATTTATTTAACAAAATTACTGAATTTTATAATAATTGAATTTAGAAATCAGTGAAAAGTAAAAGAAATACAAAATTAAATTTTTGTGATTACACTGAGAAAAATATTTTCCTAAAGTTTTAAACGTTCTAATGAATGAAATTCTTTCTTCCGTTTAAATATTTTTAAAAATTATTCTACTCAAATGAAAAAAATGTGAAAAATGTAAATTAATCATTTACTTAGTTAAGAATTAATTTTTTTAAAATATTTTTTTTATAAAGTACCTACGAATTAAAAAAAAGTACTTAAAAAATTGTTGCTCATTAGAACGTTTGAAACTTTAAAAACTTCGATAAAATAAAGGAATTTTTCGACTTATTTTGTACTTTGAATCGATTAAAGCAACTTTTTTTTCACCTTAAAAGTCAATCCGAGGCCTGCATTTAAATATTTAGGATAATTTAGTTAATAAATAGCAAAATACAGAAATATTACCTGTAGTTTTATCAGTAATCAATTTTCCAATAAAATCAGTGACTGATTCCTTCATTCGATTGATAATATCAAATCGTTCTAATTTTACCAAAGCTGTCAAAATTTTATCGATTGTAGCTTCTGGAGATTGTACATATGCCAATAAAACATAATACGTTGGATCCTCCAGTCCCTTGAAATCGTGATCTATACACTGAAACGTATTTTTATTTTCTTTATTCTCATTAGAAATAGAAAATATAAATTGTTTTAATTTTTATTAAATCTGTGATTCAAATGTTGATTTTATTAAATGTGTGAAAATTAGAAATAAAAAATTGCAATTCTTACTCGTATTTGTTCTTGCAATAGACCTAAATGTGCTGCAAAATCTTGCCAATCGGCATAAATTTTCCCCGATGCTGTTGAACTTAATAATAAACAGAGTTTCTGTAAAATAGGTTTTCCTTCCTTTTCGAAAATATACGAGGCGTGAATTTGCGATGATACTTTTTGTAAATGCAATAAAACTGTATCTAAATTTGGTGGTCCAATAACTTCATCGCGTAATTTTTCCAGTTCTGGATCTAATTTCCTGAGTTTGAGTAAAAAAAATAAAATTGTAGTAGAAATATTAATATTTTATGCAGAAAAATTATTGTTATAAATCTTGTTTTTTTACCTTGGCGAAAACATATTTTTTTTTAACTTTTCTCAAACACTGACAATTTATTTTCGATAACTTTATGAATCATTTCTCTGTTATTATTTTAATTTATATATTAAGGATTATGATTTTCTTGTTTAGCGAAATATTGTTTTATTTTTAATATCAATTGATGTAAACTTGTATAACACGGCCAACTTTCCTCCAAGCCCCCACTACTGATTTTTTCCCCAAGGCCGATGACTCAAGTTTTATCTCAATATTGTACAAATTCATTATAGAAAACGGCGCTCAAGTTTAAAAACTTTAGTTTCTTTCATTGTAAAAATAGTTTTTATGTCTTATTGTAAAAGATTGCATCTGTTTCTTTTTCTGTTAATTTGAATTTATTTGCAATTTTCTAATTATTAAGTAAGCTTAATTTAATTGTTTTAATTTTACTCTTAATTTAATTAATAGACATTAGTTATTTTAATTAATTGAATTTATTTATGTCGCCCAGAAAGTTTTCGGAAATATAATCGTTTTTGAATTAATTTTTTTTAATATCAAATTGAAACTTTTTTATATATGAGAAAAATCGCTTTAATTTAAATTCAAAAATTGTTTCCTAATTAATTGCTTTTATATTTGTGGTAAATTAAATATTGCCTTTAAGAAATTTATTTTTTATTAAATGAGTTTCTAATTTTTATTTTGCAGATTCTACAAAGAATTTCAAGAAAATCGTTTCACGAATACTAAAAGAGCACAACAATTTTATGAATGGATGGAGAAGTACGATAATCATATGCAATGCAGTGATTCGTTATTTGAAGTTTCTGCAAAAAGATTACGAGAATATGAAACATGCGACGGAAATCTATTGATGAATTGGAAAAATAGAGGATTCAAAACAGTATTAGATTTATTAATGGTATAAATTTCTATATTTATTAGTCTGCAATGATTTAAAATAATTAATTAACTTGTTAATTTAATACTAACAACTTTTAAACAAAAATAGGATTGCTTAAGGATTTTATTCTCTATTAATTTCTATTTTATTATTTTTATTGTTTCACTTTAGTTTAATTTTTTTATTTTCATATTTACCTATTTATTAATTTTTTATTTACTCACTTATTTTTTATTTTCCAATTTATTTATTTTTCTATTTGCTTAATTATTGTTTTAATAATAAATAAACTAAACCAATATTTTCATACGATATTTATTTCGCAGAAAAGTTACCCCTCAGCAGAAAATAAACTGCCTGTAATGAATGAAATAATTTTTAATAAGGAAGTCTCAAATATAAATTACACTTCTGACAATAAAGTTGTGGTTTCAACTAAAGACGGAAAAAAATTTGAAGCTTCTCACGTGATATTTACACCATCGTTGGGCGTTTTAAAAAATGAGTATAAAACAATGTTTAATCCTTCTTTACCGGAAATAAAAGAAAAAGCTATCGAGGTAAGATATTTAGCTAAGAAGAAATTACGAGAATTTATAAAAGTAAAATAAAAGTCATTTTTTCCAACAAAAAAGCAAACATGTAATTTCTACTTTTAAACTGATTTAATAATTTTTTCCAGGGATTTAACTTCGGTGCTGTAAATAAATTCTTTCTTGAATTTTCTCATCGTTGGTGGCCTGAAGGAACGAGTGGTTTATCATTTCTCTGGTCTGATGAAGACAAACGGGAGTTTTTATCAACTTGGGGACAAGTAAGTTTTAAAAAGCTAAAATAGAATTTTAATTGAATTCATAAAAAAGTGTTAAATTATTTTATTTGAATTAAAAACTAATAGACAAATCATTCATTTGATAGTGAAGATTTTTGATTGTTTGGATTTAAGTAAAGTGTAAATCACAAGTTCTTTACAAAAATTAGTTCAATTTAGTAAACAATACAATAATAAAAATAATTAATATAAATTACTAAAATAATGAATAAGTTTAATTACTTTTACATTTTTGTAATTAAAAAATTTAATAATGTTTCAGGAAATGTCCTGGTTGTGTGATATTTTTATATTTTTTGTAGTTGAAAATCAAAAAAGTGTTCTATGCGGCTGGGCATTTGGAGAGACAGCCAGACTGACTGAAAAATTAACAAATGATGAAATTTCAAATGGATTGCACATTCTTTTAAAAACATTTTATGGAAAAACTTACGATATACCAAAGGCTGTGAATTTTATACGGTAAAATGTCAAATATAATAATTATATAATTAATCAGTAGCTGGAAATTTTCACTGTGATTAAAAATATATTGTAATTTTTAAAGATTTCATGACTATTATTTTAAAAATTTTTTTGTAGCTCAAAATGGTTTACGGATAAGGATATCCGCGGTGGTTATTCATTTAGAAGTATGAAAACGGAACGAATGGGAGTAAAATCTCAAGATTTATCGGATCCGATAACTACAGATTCATATAAACCTGTAAGTATTTAGAAATACAATATTTTTTATTAAATTTTCAAATTTTCAGGGTTGCTACAGTTTAGAGAAATCAGGGAAAATTAAATTGGTCAGGAAAATAAGAGAAATGTCAGGGAATTTTATCGAAAGTATTGGCAAAATAATTATTAAATTTCTAAAATTACTGCAAAAATTCTGGTTTTTGGTTTTCAAAAACATTTTTGAAAAACGTGAAGACCTTGCATTTTTTCTTAAATTTTTTTCACTTTAAAAACTTTTGAATCGCAGTGAATTCCAATTAATCAAAATAATACTTAGATTTTATTCTTATTTCTGTAAATAATTAAATTTACTTATGTTTTTAATAAGTTTTTTAAGGTTATTAATTATAATTAATTTTTAAAAGATTTTAGTTAAAACCAGTTGCAATTTCCAGAAATAATTTAATTTCAGAAGGTTTTAAACTTATATTTTTGAAATTTTAAATTTCCGTGATGAAATTAATACCTAATAATTAAACAGTTATTTAAAAATTATTTAAGTTTTAAATAATTTTTTATTTAAATTTCTGAAAAAATTACACTTCTGAGAAATTTTAATTCAATTTTTTAAAGATTACTGGAATTTTTAAACAAATTTTATTAATTAATTAATTAATTTTAAAGATTTAAGTTTCAAATTTTTATAAAAACTGAAGTCTTGAAAAGTTAAAAGTTATTTAAAATTATGATTAGTTAGATTTTTAAAATATTTCAATTCTATTTTTTAAAAATACTTGAATATTTAAAAATAAACAAAAAATGAAAATTGTTGAATTACATAATTGAAATGTCTAAAATTCTACTAAAAATAATTGAATTTGGTAAGAATCTTGTTGAAATTTTTGAAAATAGTCGAGGAAAGTTACCCTCAGGAATTGCATTTATTTTTAAAATAAAGAGACACCCTTAAAGTTTTAAATAAAATTTTTGCTTCTAAAAATTATCTTTTTTTATAATTGAACTCCCCTTGAATTTTTTATAGGAACTAGGGAAAAAGTCAAAATTTTGTCTAGAAAGCAGAGAAGAGTCAGTAAAAAAAACAAAATAAAGTTTTTGTAGGCAATCCTGATTTCATAATTTTATAACAACATTCGCAATATAAACTGAAATACATGTATTTTATTATAGATAATTTTATTCGCTGGTGAAGCAACCCATGAACGATTTTTTTCAACTGTCCACGGAGCAATTGAAAGTGGTTTTCGTGAAGCTGATCGTCTAATTGAATACTATGGGTAAATATTATTGAGATTTTGAAAATGTGTTTATTAACAAAATATTAACAAAAAGCACGGCTTCTTAAAAACAAAAGCTTTTTGACAGAGAATTTACATTTATCTTCAATTTACAAATTAATTAATTGACAAGCATGAAAATAATATTTACCACACTTACTTTTATTCTTTTTAACATTACTTCTTTTCATTTTGTATTTGATTTTGGGGTATTTTATACTTCTTTATACCTTTTTCTAATTCGACTAATACTAATATTTAGTCACTGTCATTATAATTAAAAAAATAGAAATCTTTCCGATATTTAACTTATTATTCAATTTCAAAATTTACTCATTCAGAGGACATGCAAATTCTCTATTAACATTTTCGCTATTTTCTTTAACATCAGTTTTTTCACTGAAAATATTTGAATATATATTCTTGTTTTTGTGATTGATATAAAAATACTTTTTGTCAGGACACTAAAATCTCATCTCTAAATCATCAAGGGACATCTTTTGACTAAAACGGAATTTCGGATAAAGTTTATGCTTCTTTTACACTAAAGAACAATTTAAACAAATTAACAAACATTTTTTTTTGATTTTTCAGTTTATAAATTTGAGACAATTTTAATAAATTCAGGTGAAGGGGGAATATTAAAAAGAATTGTGTTTCATTTTCTTTCTGTTCAAAAATTTTAAGAAAAGTATATGCATTTTTTTTTATTAATAATTTTTCTTTCTATTTTACACGCTTTTTGCTTCCTTTTGATATATTTTATGCACAAATTATTTATTTTATGCAACATACTTTTCTTTGTTTGAATGATTGAAAGGCTTTGTCTATGAAATTTTTCTATTCTTTGAAGTTCTCCAATTTTTAAATGATAAGAAAATAAAAAAAAACTTGATGATTCGAATCACATAGAATACATGACGATTTGAAGCTGAGGAGAAAATTATTTGAGACAGAAACGACAGAATTGATCATCATTGGTGCAGGAATTTCAGGACTAGCCGCGGCAATGACATTAGAAAAAGAAGGATTCCATAATTATATTTTATTCGAAGGTAATTAATCTTCAATGAAGAAAAAAGCAAATGCAAAAAATATAATTTAGAAAAAATAGGGGAAAATATGTAAACATCAATGAAGAAAATATTTTATTCTTTCAACTTTTAGTTTTTTATAATCTAATTGTAATTTATTAATTTTTTCTATCAATTTTTTATTGATTTTGGTAATGATTTTTTGTATTTTTTTGATTAATTTATTTGAGAGAGATTAATTTTTAAAAAAATGTCAATTTCAGCCATGGACAGAGTTGGAGGTAGAATATATACCACTCACTGGAATGATGATGAAATTGAAAATGGAGCTCAATTTTTGCATGGCGATAAAAGTAAACTTGGACAATATTGTCATGAGTTGAATCTTCTGTCTGATGATCATTCAAGCGAAGCCGAAGGACTTTACATTAGAGACGATGGACTCGAAATAGATTCTCATCTTGTGATAAAGGTCGATGATTTTGTCAGATACACTCTCGAAGAATGTGAGAAATTTGCAAATGACAATAAAATCCTACAACCAGAGATTCATCAAAATATTGGTAAAGTTCTACGAACACGATTTAATAAATACTTAGAAGCCACTAACGACACGGAGAAAAATAAAAACATCATGAAGGATTTATTTGACTGGAATATCAAATTTTTAAATATCGATAATTCTTGTCTATCCATTGATGAATTATCAGTAAAAGGATGGGGAAATTTTCAGGTATTCATTTTTCCTTCTATTTTTTTTATTTACTATTCGTTTTAATTTATTTTCTTACTTTTATCATTGTTTTCTTTTTCTTTCAAGTTTGTCGGTGGGCAAGAACATTCAATTTTCAAATCCAGTTATAGTTCGATAACAAAAATAATTGCGGACAATTTAAATAAAAATAGTTTACGATTAAATAGTCCAGTGGAAAAAGTTGAATGGTGTGAAGAATTGAGAAATGAAGAAAATTTCAAATCAATTCTAGTCACTTTGAATGATAATAAAAAAATTTACGCCAATTGTGTTATAATTACATGTTCACTTGGATTTCTAAAGGAAAATTATCAAAGAATGTTTCATCCACCATTACCGAATTATTTATCACGTGGAATTGAGTGCCTTGGTTTTGGATTGATTAATAAAATTTTTCTTGAGTTCAATGAAATTTGGTGGAAAAGAGGAACGAGGGGATTTCAATTTATTTGGCGACGTGATAATGAAGAATTTCCCTCGAGTGGAAAATTGCCTACTTGGACAAAAGATTTAACTGGATTTGATATTTTAAAAGACGAGAAAAATGGAATTTTTCTTGGATGGATCGGTGGACGTGGTGCTCATATTATTGAAACATTAAGCGAACAACAAATCGCCGAGGACTGTTTACAATTGCTCAAATTTTTTCTAAAAAACAATAACATTCCTTTTCCAAGAAGATGTCTGAGAACACGATGGTATGATAATAAATTTGTAAGAGGTGCCTACAGTCATATCACCACTAAGTGTGACAACAATGGAGTTTCTTGTGGAATTCTAAGTGAACCCGTGTGGGGTTTCGTTTCTAATAATCATGGAACGAAGGTAATTAAATGAAGGAGAAGAAATTGTCCAATTGGAACTTCAAATTGAATTTATACTGTTTTTAATTATTGATTTAGTAGAAAATATTTTTAGTTTAACTGAAAGTATTTATAATTCAAATGAGAATATTTCAGGAATAAGTTTTCAAAAGCTGATAAAAACATTTTCAGGGTGGCCACATGTCAGTAAAGTCAGTAAAGTCAGGGAAATGTCAGTAAAATTTTTATCAATAAAATCAGGGAAATGTAAGAAAAAATTTTTTGTCAGAAATTTAAAAAATTGAAATTTTTTTCGACTTTTCTTCAAAATATTGCAACAAAATATCATATTTTTAGTATTAAATGTAATTGATTTCGATTTTTATAGTGCGAAAAATAACTATAAACAAATCTTTCAAAAATTATTTTTGAATCATTTTTCTATTTAAATTTTCGAAATATATAATTAAAAAGATTTTGAATAATTGAAATTTTGTAAAATTTAATTAAAAATAATTAATTTTTTCAAGTATTTTGTTAGAATTTTTAAAAATCAACTTTTAAAGAATTTTAATTGCAAATTTTCAAAATAATTGAATTTTCAAAAATTTTAATGAAAAATCTTTAAACGTAAATTTAAAAATGAAAATTAATGAAAATTAGATTCTAATTTTTTGAAATTTAGTATTTTCAGTACTTTCAATTACACATTTTCGAAAATTCAAATACATACAAAAAATAATAACATTTATATTTATTTTTAACATTTTGAAGAAAAAAATCATGTTTAAAATATTTCATTAAAATTTATCAAAAAATTAATTAGTTTTTTTAAATAATACAAAAAACTCTTTTAAGAAATTCAATGTTTTTCGAAAACTTACATTAAAATATTTTTAAAAACTACCTACTTAATTCTTAGAATTTTTTTATAATCCTTATTAATAAAATCAGATGTATGTCTGTACATTGCTTAAAACTTCAAAATGTTAACATGATTAGTTATTATGGACATCAGAGATTCCAAAAATATTCTTAAAAAATTTAATGTATGTATGTATGTATGTATGTATGTATGTATGTCTGTCTGTCTGTCACAAAAACTTTGTACCCCAATCACACAAAAACATATGAATCGATTTAAGTCCAACTTAGTAGGTTATTAGGTATTGACCCAAGGAAGGTTTATAAATTTACAGATTTAACAAATATTAATTAGAACGGGAGATATTCAATTTTTTCAAAAAATTCAAAAAATCGAAAATTTCAAAATTTTTTATTTTTTCATGGATTGCTTTTAAAGTTTCTATACTTGAGTTTTACATGTTATTTAGTCACATTTTAGCATGATTTTGCAAAAAATAAAGTCTTATAACTAATATGTAAGTATAAAAATGTTTTCAAAAAATCGAAAATTTCAAAATTTTACATTTTTTCATGGATTGCTTTTAAACTTTCTATATTTGAGTATTACATGTTATTTGGTCATATTTTAGCATAATTTTGCAAAAAATACTATCCTACAACTAAGATGTAAATATAAAAATATTTTCAAAAACTTCAAAAAATGGAAAATTTCCAAATTTCACATTTTTTAATGGATAGCTTTTAAACTTTCTAAAATTGAATATTATATGTTATTTAGTCAGATTTTAGCATAATTTTGCAAAAAATACTATCCTATAAGTAAATATAAAAATATTTTCAATATAAAAAAATCGATAGGTACTAATTACTATGAAGTTTAATTCAGTAGTATTTTTGGAGTCTCTGATTAATGCTTTGACGTCAAAATAATGTAATTCAGAATTATTTATCATATTAATCTAATATTTGCAAGCACTTCAGAAGTATTGAAAATGGAAATTTTTTATGATTAAAATGATATTGTAGGATGTCAAGAATATTGTAAGTCACCTGTGATACAATACAAGCATATTATGCCATAAAGCAAAAACTTACATATATGTTAAAACGTTTGTTTATTTTAAATCTAGATTTAACTTTTAGAGATGTTTTGAGCAATGTAAAGACAAAAGTTAACACGGTGTCTATTTTTGATTAACATTCCTGCTTTGTCCAAATTTTTCACAATTTATCTTTTTTTTGTCAAATTTAAATTTACTTGATTTTATCCATAAATAAATCTACAAATGGCTATAAAAATTTACTTATTTTATGAAAATACTCTTTCTTAAGTTCATATAAATATAGATTATATTACTATCTGTCATACCCGTCTTCGACAGTTTTCTGTTCCTACTAATACGTTTAACAGGGTATATACCAAACGGGAAAAACTGGGAAAAAGCCGGGAATATGACGAACCGGGAATTTTCCTATCAAATTAAGAAAAAGTTTCATTATATTAATTCGCTTTTAAAAAATTGCTTTTTACTTTAATTTTTATTGATGTATAATATTTATGAAAACAGACCCGAGTCAAAATTTAAGCCCTACTTTCAGCCTAAAATATAGGTCTTATGTTAGGTTTTAACAGTCGTAACGTAGGGTCTACTTGCGACACAATTAGTTCCAATTAGACTCTACTATAACTCCAAAAACTTGGTGGAAAATTTGATAAATTTTTAATACATTAATTAAAGTACTACAAATTGACAAATATTGTTCTCTGCATTTGAATTGGTTAAAATAACTAATTTGATAATAAAAAGTCAATCACTGATTCAAATAGTATAATATTTTTTGTCCTGCCTGCACGGAAAGTGTGTTATTTCGTGCACATGAGGCGGGCGCAAAGTAAGTGATTCCCGCCCAGAGGTAAGGTGAGCGGGCGCAAAATACATTCGCGCCCGCTGACGTCATAGGAGCGGGCGCAAAGTACATTCCCGCCCGCTGCCATTACAGAAGCGGGCGCAAAATATTTTTTCGCTCATTTGTGCATCCAGTGACCTTAACTTTTAGAAAATGACATCACAAGTCATTTTTAACAATATGGAACAAACAAACAATTCATCTAAATGTGTGTGCACTTAATAACACACTTTCCATGTAGCATGACAAAAAATGTTGTTTGCAGCACGGGCGCAAAAGGTGATATTGTCTCAGGCGAGATTATGGAAAAACCTCGGCGACCCTACGCATCCTCGGCTTCGGGTCCCCTTGGTTTCCCCAATCTCGCCTTCGCCAAAATCACCTATTTTGCACCCTTAATACGAAAATAACTATTCCTACTTAAATAGCTAATGGTAACTAATTATTATTTTTTTTCCGGTCAAATTAAATTCCCGAGCTGTTTTCTGATTTTCTAGATTGGTAGGCACACTGTTAAATGTATTGGTAAAAACTAAAACCCGTTGAAGACGGGTACGACAGCTAGTTTTTTTTATAATTTTTTAAGATTTAATTATCTTTGAATTTATTTAATTTATTTATCTTTGAATAAAGAAAATAAAAATTTACATTTTTGGACTTATTAAAATTTCGGAGAAATCATGGTTATATTTACAATTAAAATTCTTAAAAAATTTTATTTTTTAATTTTTTGATAATATTATACCTTAATAAACTAAAGAATAAAACATGGAGAGTTACAATTATTATAAAAAATTGAATTTTCGTATTTAAACAATTTAATTCTCGAAGAAATTTCGAAAAATTATTTAAAATAATTGATTTAGAGATGAAGTTTAGTTGAAAGGGCTTAGGGGGTTAAGTGTGCAAAAACTGCCCCCGCATCTATTTTTCTCAAATTTGGCCCATATATTACTATCCATATGACTATAACTTTCTGCAATTTTGAACTCAAAATTCGCTTTTTTGGGGGAGTTATGGAGGGGGAAAGCAAAATCAAAAAACTTATTTTTCTCGAAAACTACTGAACCGATTTTAATGAAATTTTAAGAGGTTGTAAATATAGATAAGACGATTTTAGAAAAAAAAATCAAAATTTTTTTTTAAAAAAAAAATTTTTCAAATTTTCAAAATTTTTTTTAGGGTTATTTTTTGAAGTGACCACTTTCTCTTTTGTTGTAAAAAGTACCTTATAATGCCCTTTTTAACATATATTTTTTCCAAATTTTTTAAAAATATAGTTTTTGAGTAAAATGTCAAAAACCATGGTCATGCTATTTGTCACGTAATGCACATATTATATATACAGTGCCGCCCAACAGGATTTGCCCACCCTATCACAGTTGAAGGTGTTACAAAAAGTTTTATATTTTGATTTCTAATAAAGATATCAAGGTTTGTAAGGTCTCATTTTAAAGCTTATATCATCTACTTTAACAATATTTAAAGAATAAATTAAAAAAAAAAATTTTTATTGTTTAATTACTGTTTAAAAAAAACAAACTTTTCAATTTTTTTTTTGCTCATTTCAAACAAATGTAGTTTTTTAACAAGTAATCGTAAATTAATTATGTATAACGCATTTTAAAGATGATTTTATCACCTATAAAATGCATTTTTAAAAATTGTCGTACCATTTTTTTTAAGAAAGTTATTATCATTTGTTTAAAAAAACAGCCCTTTTTTTAAATAATTCGTATTTTGAAAACGGTTCATTTTTTTGGAAAAAGTTTAAGACAAAAAATGTTCATTTATTTATGTAGATTTAAGAAAAAAAATATAAAAAATTTTTTTGAACAAATTTTTTTTTTACCACATTTTTACCTTGTACTTGTAAAAATATTGTACAAGGTAAAAATGTGGTAAAAAAGAAATTTGTTCAAAAAAATTTTTTATATTCTTTTCTTAAATCTACATAAATAAATAAACATTTTTTGTCTTAAAGTTTTTCCAAAAAAATGAACCGTTTTCAAAATACGAATTATTTAAAAAAGGGCTGTTTTTTTAAACAAATGATAATAACTTTCTTAAAAAAAATGGTACGACAATTTTTAAAAATGCATTTTATAGATGATAAAATCATCTTTAAAATGCGTTATACATAATTAATTTACGATTACTTGTTAAAAAACTACATTTGTTTGAAATTAGCAAAAAAAAAATTGAAAAGTTTGTTTTTTTTAAACAGTAATTAAACAATAAAAAAATTTTTTTTTTAATTTATTCTTTAAATATTGTTAAAGTAGATGATATAAGCTTTAAAATGAGACCTTACAAACCTTGATATCTTTATTAGAAATCAAAATATAAAACTTTTTGTAACACCTTCAACTGTGATAGGGTGGGCAAATCCTGTTGGGCGGCACTGTACATATATGGGCAATTTCATGTGATAGGGTATAGCCAAATAAGTATGGAAAAAGTGACCCGAATATATTTTTCCCATTCATTCCTACCCACTTAAAAATAACTTTTTGAAATTTTTAACTCAAGATTTTGAGTTTTTTGGAACTTATGGAGGGGAAAAAATCGAAAAACGTATTTTTCTCAAAAACTACTGTATGCATTTTAATCAGCTTTGGATATGTTGAAAAGACAATTAAAGAGATTCAAAAAAAGAAATTTCAAATTTTTTTTCAAAAAATTCCAAAAATCTTTTTTTTTTGAAAATTTCAAAACGAAAATTTTTTTAGTTCTATTAAAGTGACATCCAAAGAAAAATCCAAAAATTTTTATTTTGGCATTTAAAATTTTTTTCTTTTTGGATCGTTGAAGCGGTACATCACACTTTTTTTATTTAACTTTTTTAACAGTCTTACTTTTTAAAAAATAATGGCCTAGATGATTTTAGAGTGCAACACGGTAAAAAAACTCAAAAAATCCTAAACTTTGATTTTAAAATTTTCCAAATTTTTTTGTTTGTCTAAAAATATTTTTTTATATCAACTTCAGATTTGTATTTAGCAACCTCAATAACCCACTATAAATAGGTTGCAAAAATATTTGACAGGTTTTTTAATTTAAAAAAAAAGATTTTTGGAATTTTTTGAAAAAAAAATTTGAAATTTTTTTTGCAATCTCTTTAATTATCTTTTTAACATATCCAAAGCTGATTAAAATGCATACACTAGTTTTTGAGAAAAATACGTTTTTCGATTTTCTCCCCTCCATAAGTTCCCAAAAACTCAAAATTTTGAGTTAAAAATTTTAAAAAGTTATTTTTAAGTGGGTAGGAATGAATGAGAAAAATATATTCGGGTCACTTTTTCCATACTTACTTGGCTATAGCCAAATAAATATGGAAAAAATTTTACATGAAAAAAAAAAAAATTAATAACACATGAAATTGCCCATATGTGGGGTATTTCACGGGAAGTGATCCGGCCTCATGCGTTTACACGTCATACTTTGATGACTTGTAGTTTGCTTTAAAAAAAAGATGTAAATTAGATAAAATATGTTTTGGAAAGGGGATTTCGTGTACTTTTAAATAAAGATGTTAGTTTTTTTCAAAAAAAAATTTTTGACCTTGAAAATTAAAAATTAAAATTTAATTTTCATTTTTTTGTACAATCGGTATTTTTTTAAAAATTTTTTTTATTTAGAATGAAAGCTGAGCTCTTTTCCTATCAAAAACATATCTGCCCAAAATGGGACTAGAATTATGAATTCTAGTTAATTAATTTTACAAAAAAATGAAAATTAAATTTTAATTTTTAATTTTCAAGGTCAAAAATTTTTTTTTTTAAACTAAAATCTTTATTTAAAAGTACACGAAAACCCCTTTCCAAAACATATTTTATCTAATTTACATCTTTTTTTTTAAGCAAACTACAAGCTATCAAAGTATAACGTGTAAACGCATGAGTCCTGTGCAACATGTGGTACAAGCCTCATGCGTTTACACGTCATACTTTGATAACTTGTAGTTTGCTTAAAAAAAAAGGTGTAAATTAGATAAAATATGTTTTGGAAAGGGGTTTTTGTGTACTTTTAAACAAAGATTTTAGTTTAAAAAAAAAATTTTTTTTGACCTTGAAAATTAAAAATTAACATTTAATTTTCATTTTTTTGTAAAATTAATTAACTAGAATTCATAATTCTAGTCCCATTTTGGGCAGATATGTTTTTGATAGGAAAAGAGCTCAGCTTTCATTCTAAATAAAAAAAATTTTAAAAAAATACCGATTGTACAAAAAAATAAAAATTAAATTTTAATTTTTAATTTTCAAGGTCAAAAATTTTTTTTTTAAAAAAACTAACATCTTTATTTAAAAGTACACGAAAACCCCTTTCCAAAACATATTTTATCTAATTTACATCTTTTTTTTAAAGCAAACTACAAGTCATCAAAGTATGACGTGTAAACGCATGAGGCCGGATCACTTCCCGTGAAATCCCCCATATGTTTATTAGTTTTAAAAGTATCATGAAGTGGTCAAAATTGTATCTAAAATAATATAAATTTGAATCAGTTGCAATTGAAATTTTTATTAATTATTTAATTTGAATAAAGTTAAATTCCTAATTTTTTAAAAAAATTGAATTTTTGTAGTTTTATTTCAGATTCTCAATAGTTAATTTTTTATAAGAGCTAAATTCTAATTTTAAAGAAAGTTGAATTTTTATAAATAAGCAATTGCAAATTTTTGAAAATTTCTAGAATTCTATGAAAAATAATGTTTTCTTTTTAAAGAATCTTATTGAAATTTTTGAAAGTAATCAAGAAAAGTTAACCAAAGGAACAAATTTGATGTTTTTAAAGTAGGTTTAACTTTTTTTTAAAATTTAACTTATTATTTAACTTTTAAAGTTTTAAATAACATTTTTGCTTTTAAAAGATATTTTTTTTATAATTATTGAAAGCGTTTTGAATTTTTTTATAGAGATTAGAAAATAAGTAAAAATTCTGTCTGGAAATTAAGGAAAAGTCAGGAAAAATGAAAATAAAATTTTTATGGCAACTCTGATTTTTTATGTAATTGAAAATACTAAGGAAATTATTAATAGGGATTGAAATAAATTGTATATTGTTTTTCAGCGCGTCCCTATAATGATGTTGGCGGGAGAAGGGACACATGAACATTTTTATTCGACAACTCATGGAGCTTTTGACACGGGAGTAAAACAGGCGAAAAAATTTTTAAAACATCATCGCAGTGAACATGGGTAAATGAGCTGGCGTCTAATTTTCAATTATTGAAGGAGAAGAAGTCTGTTAAAAGAAAAGAAAAAATCGGAATTAGGGAGATTTATCCTTTATAAAATCATCGATGTTTCGAATAATTTAACAATTGAAAATATCTATTCAATATTAGAAACCTTTTCTTAGGTATCTAAGTATGTTTAGAGTGAATCAGAATATCTTTTAAAAATCAGGGAAAAAGACAAAATTTTGTCAGGAAATGAGAGAAACGTCAGGAAAAAACAAAAGTAAATTTTTGTGACAACCCTAAACTATTTATTTAAAGTTGACGATTTTGGGAAAATGAAATTTGTCATCTTTTAACAAGAAAAAGTATTTTTAAAGAAACTAAAAAATAGATTAAATTTGTGGTACAATTTTCCTTTTGTCAATTTTGTGAACTTGAGTTTTTTCGGTTTCATTAGATTAGATTAGATTTTTTCATTAGATTCATTAATTTTAAAATTTTAATCGTAACTATTATGTGGTTTTTGTTTTCTCTTGTTTATAATTAATTAATAATTAATTACAATAACAATTGTTATTATTTATTTATGTTTCTCGCGGTCCTATTGAACCATTGGTGAGATATGTTTTCGTGAAATTATATTAATTATTTATTTATTATTATATTTATTATTATCTTTATTATTATTATTTATTATTTATGATTATATTAATTATGTTAATAGTGTAGAACAATTTTTCTAAAACTAAAATACCTTCCAAAAAATCGACTATTAAAATTTCCTCCATTTAATTTATTAACTAATTTATCAAGGTGTCTTGAAGTTGTAAACCACTTTCCTACATTTTTATTGACAAATAATATTTATTCAATACTGGAAATCAGCTCCTCAAAGTCTTCAATTTTTAAATGTCATTTCGAAGTTTTTTTTTAATTTTCCTAGAATCTTCACGATTCTCTAGACCTTATTTTATTTCTTTTCATCTTATTCCCAATAATTCTCTATAGAAATGTGAAATTAATATTGTTGCAAAAAAATTGTATTCATAGTAAATAAGTAAAATCAAATATTTTAGCGAGGAAAATAAAAAAATTCGATAGAAGGGTGTGAACAGGTTGTGTTCTATCTTCTGTACAAAAAGAAATAAAAGCATAATAAAAGAATAAGGACAATTGATAAAAGAATGAGGACAAATCGTTAATCTAAAAAATGTTCTAAATAAAAAAAAGTATTTATTTAAATCATTAATAAAGTGTATTAATTTATTACTACATTTACTAATTATTATAATTATTCTTTATTAATAACAACTATAATTGATAACAATTTGTAAATTTGTTTAAATTATTTAATAATTTATTAAATTCCTTCTTTTTTAATTATAAAATAATTATGTGACTCCAATTAAAATTTTTACACGTCATTATTTTGAATTTAAACCATATTTCCGCTTATTCTATCAAACGGCCCGCTCACACCGGGTGTTTTCGACGTTGACACTCTGAGCGCTCTGAAAGTACGAAACGTGGTTGGTTGGGCTAGGGGAATTCTGAATGTTGATTGGCTGAACTTCAAAATTCATAGTTTTATGCTCTGGTTTCCACACTACGAAACGTGGTTGGTTGGGCTAGGGGAATTCTGAATGTTGATTGGCTGAACTTCAAAATTCATAGTTTTATGCTCTGGTTTCCACACTCTGTATCGCTCGGACCTTTGATACCGAGCGATACAGAGTGTGGAAACCAGAGCATAAAACTATGAATTTTGAAGTTCAGCCAATCAACATTCAGAATTCCCCTAGCCCAACCAACCACGTTTCGTACTTTCAGAGCGCTCAGAGTGTCAACGTCGAAAACACCCACCGGCGTCTCGTTAAAAGTCACGTGACTCCCAGGTCCGTACCCACATCACTTTTCCGAGATAACCGCCAATTTCAAATTACTGTTACACCCTCCCCTTTCAGAGAGGCGGCTATCTGGAAAAATTTTACTGCAGTAGACCGAAACAAAAATACAATTATCAAAAGAATACTTAAAGTCTCTGCAATAATTCAGTCGTAGTCAATTAAAACTAAAAAATAATGTTATTAAACAGATTATCAATAGTCATTTCACATACACGCTGGGTTTTGGAAATTGTGAGATCAATTTTTAACTTATATTGCTAAACAATATGACTTGAATGAATTCACTTACACAAGGTACATAAAAATGGAAAATAAAAAAAATTACGTCATTAACGACAAAACAAGAAAACTAAATAACCCTTTAGAAGTGAATGTACAAAATCATTATCAAAGAAAAATATTAATAATATGAACAGAAAACGTAACTCAGTCGACTACTTTGCATTCTCCTTCTGATACTTCGTAGGAACTATTATCTTGATCACGTCGCCATCTTGTAGCTCCGGACGCTCCAACATAACTTCGTCCATTGTTTTAGAAGTCTGTGGTTTAAGCAAGGCATTTATTGCTTTGTTCCGTTTTTGCTCGGAAAGTTTCAGAGGTGTTTCTATCTTGGTGCACACTGTAGTGTCGACTGTTTTAAGAGCGTTTTCTCTAATAAGAAATGCTCTAATCCTGTTTGGTAGGTCGTTTTTATCGTTAAACTTTGACTTGATCCGGCGTTTCAGCTTGTCAACATCTTCGTCGACAAGATATCGATGATCCTCTGGGATAAAGAATGTCGGCCACGTTGCGTAGTTCAATCGGAGATAGTGGACCAGACCTACGTGTCTTATATTGCAGTCTGGGCACTCTGGACAATATTAGGGTGGAGTCCCATGGCACCGTTTTGCGTTGCGTTTTGTAACTAGGCCATGAGTGCAAATATAGCGAACGTATATCTCCATCTATCTCACACTCATTGCCTAGTTACAAAACGCAACGCAAAACTCTGCCATGGGACTCCAGCCTAAATGTTCTTCTCTTCCACAGCCAGGACAGCGACCCAGGATCATCTCATGTTCGATCCCATGAGGATAAATGCAGTTGAATGTATCGAATCCCTCCGCTCCACAAATGGTGCAAAATCCCGGGCGGTACGGAAACAAACATTCCCTGAACTTGTGTTCACTTGATCTGCAGTTAATGCAGCCCTGCGCAGTCTGTTTTGAAACTTGGGTGACGTAAGTTTGGGTTGAGCAGTCGACCTTTCGCGCATCCTTTTTTGCTACCAGCAGCTGGGCTCTTTTCAAAATCAAATTGCGTAGGAGATCATCACTGATGATTTTACAGTCGACCATAAATTAATAACGGCTGTTGACATCCTTCTGGGTTCAGCAACCCCGGGACTCCAAGCTCCTCCAGGACAACACGAAAATCAGGATGCTTTTAGGCAACGGTTCAACTCGGACTGATGGTGCCACTTCCACTTCCGTCAATTCAGCCATCGACAATGGTTTTCCCGTCAACTCCGATTTTCGCATAGGATGATCGTGATTAACAATTCTTTTTCTCTTCAAGTTCTCAGCTCTCAACTGAAGATTGGTAACCCTTGTTACCTTTCTGAGACCAGGTTTTGATGGCTTCCAAAGTCTAACCTCTTCGAGAAAAGTATGAACCTTTTCCACCACTTCCCGCTGACCCTTTCTCGATGGCGGCAAGGATTCATATAGTGTCAACGCAACTGATCGGGTCTCGTCGAAACCTGATAAGAAATTCTCGACGGCTTCCTGAGAACTTCTAGCAGCCAATGCACAAGCTTCATCCAATTTGCTTTCTGAAGACGTCTCGCTCTCGTGTTCCTGTTGAATGGCGGTTTCTAACTCCTGCTTCTGAATCTCAAACTTGGACTGCACTAATGCTATTGCTTGATCCAATTCTTCCTTCTGGATCCTCAGATTCTCGAGCCTGTTGGTCAGGAGATCAATTCTACTGCCTGATGACATCTTTTGGAACAGCCGATAAAATGAGCTAGAAAAATCACACATTCTTAATACTTCGCCTAGGTATTTTCAAATTAGATATACAATATTTGCCTACTATCTTTCCAGACGCGTCGACTAGTTCTACCGTTGACGAACCTAGAACTCTTTTTATTTTAGCTGGACTAATATATTTATAAGCCAATTTGGCAGAATAACTTTCATGTTTTTTGCTAAGTTTTTTATTTGGGTAATAAACCTCAGTACCCTCTTTCAGATCTACAGTTGAGGACCTACCCGAGTTGACAATGGCAAGGCGTTTTTCATTGTATTGTTGCAATCTACTCTCGATCTTGTGTCTAAATTCATCAATTATCTTCATGCGCCTTGCCCAAAAGGAGACCGAGTCATCTGCAGAACTCAATTGATCAATAGGGTCCTTGACGACATGTTTAATAATTGCTTCTTGTCCGTGATGTAAAAAGAAAGGAGATACTCGGGTCCCCGAATGTGGAACGGTATTATTGTATCAATCACAATTGAAACAAAATCAAACTTTTTACTTATACAGACTTTAATTCCGTCAATCTGAATAAAATTGTCAACATAAGCCGAGTTGCTCAATTAACGATTTCGACATAGACTGTCAACTTCTAAATAAGGTTAATTACCAAAAATTTTAAATCCCCCTTTTTTTATTTACGTACACAAGAAAATAAAATATCAATATAATTAAATAAAAGATTCATAAATAAAATAATACTATCGACAACATTGAAACGAGAAAGAAAAAAGAAAAAAAATAGAACTTTAATAAGGACACAGCTGAGTTCAAAATTTCCTCCTCTTTCTATGTTTTCTTTTTTTTATTTTTATTTTAATTTTACTCCACTTAAATAATGGTTTCAATCTTGTCGACAAGTACTAAAACAATACTTAAACAACTTCAGCAAAACACTTCACAAATCACAACAATAAAAATTAAAATTCAAATAATAACAATTATCATCAAAATTCGTTATAAAACGAATATCCCTACATGGGAATCCACTTGGAATTTTACAAGGGATTTCACATAGGATTTTATATGGGAATTGACATAGGATTTCATGCAAGATTTCACCTAGGATTTAATGAGACATCACATAGTATTTTATTAAAGATCCAATGAAGAAATTTTCAAAGGATTAAAAATTATTTAATAAAAAATTAAATAATATATAGTATTAGTGTTACAAGTCATCAAAAAAGTAAAAAAACGATAATTTGAAACACGTCCTCTCTGCTACAGGTTCTCAGCTTTTATATACTTCCAGAATCGTCTCAACAGCGAGAGAAGTCACTTTCGCCACCTAGCGGTGAAAGTATAGGAGCGACAGTAATCTTTAACATTACTAAGGAAACCATGTGGAATACTACGTAGGATTCCATGTGGTTTCCTACGTGGGGATTTACATGGGATTTTACTTAGGAATTTAAGTAGAAATAAATTCCCAAATGAATTCCTAAGTAAAATCCCATGTAAATCCCCACGAAGGAAACCACATGGAATCCTACGTGGTATTCCACATGGTTTCCTTAGTAATGTTAAAGATTACTGTCGCTCCTATACTTTCACCGCTAGGTGGCGAAAGTGACTTCTCTCGCTGTTGAGACGATTCTGGAAGTATATAAAAGCTGAGAACCTGTAGCAGAGAGGACGTGTTTCAAATTATCGTTTTTTTACTTTTTTGATGACTTGTAACACTAATACTATATATTATTTAATTTTTTATTTAATAATTTTTAATCCTTTGAAAATTTCTTCATTGGATCTTTAATAAAATACTATGTGATGTCTCATTAAATCCTAGGTGAAATCTTGCATGAAATGCTATGTCAATTCCCATATAAAATCCTATGTGAAATCCCTTGTAAAATTCCAAGTGGATTCCCATGTAGGGATATTCAATAAGGCGGATAATGTTTTTCACATGGGATTTGGTTTAGGATTTGACATGGGAAAATAATTATAAATAAATGATACTGTTTTTCACTTGGGGATTGACTTGGGAAAATAATTATAAATAAATGATACTGTTTTTCACATGGGATTCGGTTTAGGATTTGACTGGGAAAAACATGTGGGATTTGATATGGTTTTATGCATAGATGAACTGTTCAAATTCCCCATGTCTATTTCTAACTAAAATCCTGTCTCAATTTCCCATATGGTTTGACATGGGAAACCACATGGTAAACCACGTGGTTTCCTTCATGGAAGTAGGGTTTTACATGGTTTTTGACATAGGATCCCATGTGGTTTCCCATGTGGTTTCCCATATGGGGATTTTCAATAGGGAAGATACTTTAGCAAAAAATTAAGTTATTTTTTTATTTGT